CCGAATGTGACTCTCATGAACTGTTGTTTTCATGGGGGTGTTTTGTTTCAAGAGATGAGTATTATAAGATAAGTGAACAATTTACCCCCTGCCCATCCCTGAAGCCCTTATTTTATTGCTGTGGAAATAGGTCTGCAAGATTCGATGACTTGTCCGGGATCCACCGCTGACTAATGAGAGAGCTGTGACCCAGGTCTCCTCTCCCACTCCCTTCTGTCACCGCACTCTGGGGATCTAGTTGATGACTCCAAGTTTTCTGTCACCATAAGCTTGTGGTTGGGGCTTTACAGGCAAGAGAAATACTACTAAGCATCCAAAGCTTAGTATTTTATTCATATATATTCCATATATGAATGAAAAATTCATGAAGCAGAAAGGTGACAAATTTAGTCATTAGTAAAAAGCACGTTGTTATGAAACTTCAGAAGAGATTTTTTAAGAATTATATTTATAAAGGCCTTTGTTTACTGGTTAAATTCATATTATTTGTTAGAAGGAATCTGTGATAAACTTGAAAATGCTGGAACTTGATTTTTAATTCTTTCAACTCACAATTCTTTTTGCAGCAGCAAGATTAAGAGAAGTATGTTCTTAATTGTTCCATCCTTTACATTCAGGTATGTGAGACCCTAGAAAAGGAGATAATTAAATATGCATAACACTCAATATCAATATTTTTAATGAAAAAGGATCTGAGAGGAAAAAGATTTCTGCTAGTATGTTGCTAAATAGTCCCTGTGCCCCATTTAATATAATACAATGTAATTCTTGACATTTTAGTCTAAGCTAAACATTAAGGATTTCAAAGAAATGCCATTTACCTAAGTCTAATAGTAAAATATTAATATTTTATCTGTAAAAGTAAAAATAATGAAGCATGCATTTTAAGATTTTATAATTGTGTGTTTATTTATTTGTTTAGAATTACTCTTTAATTATGGAATCATTCTACTTAGGTATCTTCTCGACATGATAGTAAGATTTCATACTGTAAAGCAGAGTCACACGATATACTTGTTTCCTTTAAATGTATAATATTTTAATCTGTGTTGCAATTGTAAAAAAGTAATTTGAAGACTAATTTGTCTTCACAGATTATGCAAATAGTATAATCATGTATGGAGAATTTGTTTAAACTATATGCGACTCAGTAAAAAAATTACATTTAGATCCAATTTGAAAGCTAATAAGACACCAAAGTTTTTAAAAGTTTTTGCACAGCAAAGAAAACCATCAGCAAAATGCAAAAACAACCCACTGAATGGGAGAACGTATTCATGGATACATCTGATAAGAGATTAATATCCAAAATTTGTGAAGAGCTTATAAAACTCAACACTAAAAAACCCCCAAACAATTTAATTAAAAATGGGCAAAGGACCTGAACGGTAACTTCTCTAAAGAGGACACACAGGTGGCCAATAGACACATGAAATGATGCTCAATGTCATTTATCATCAGGGAAATGGAAATTAAAACTACAATGAATGCCTACCATTAATAAATCAACAAATAGCGAGTGCTGGCGAGGCTGTGGAGAAAAGGGGACCCTCGTGCACTCTTGGTGGGAATGCAGACTGGTGCAGCCACTGTGGAAAGCAGTGTGGAGTTACCTCAAAAAATTAAAAATGGAACTGCCTGTGATTCATCAACTCCACGTCTGGGAATTTACTTTAAAAAAACCAAAGAAACCCCAAACACTAATTTGAAAGAATATATGCACCCTATGTTCATTGCAGCCTTATTTCTAATAGCCAAGATTTGGAAGCAGCCCAAGCGTCCATCAGTAGATGAGTTGGATAAAAAATCTGTGGTACATTCACACAATGGGATACTACTTGGCTGTAAAAAAAAGAGGGAGACTTCCGCCAAGATGGAGGATTAAGGTGGATGTGCCTGCCTCCTCTCACAACCAAGTTTAAGGACAACTAAATATTAGCATCGGAAAACACAACCAGAACACGGAAAACTGAACTTTTCGGAAGTCCGCAAACAGCAAATTCTCCGGCCCGGCCGGTAAGAGGCAAACCGGCGGCGGCGGGTTGAGGAGTTACAAAGGAGAACTTGTTCGACCCGGCGCGGGCGCGGAACCCAGACGCGCGAATCCAGACGCACGGGTTCCAAACCCAGGATTGGACCTAGTGAGCAGCCCACCGGATGAGTGACTACGGAGGAGTCAGTGGGGGAGGCGGTGGCAGCGAGTTGACTGTGGGTGCCCGGTTACGCGCGGGTGAGGGAGTGAGCGGGGACCGCAGCGGCGCCATTCCCCCCCCCCCGCTCTGACCACGCCCCCACATACAGCGTCACAACCCAGCGACCTGGGACTCCAAGGCGCCGCTTCTCTCACTTAAAGGGCCAGAACAGACCAAAAATGTCGCAGGGGGACCTCAAAGTCCCGGAGATAAATCTAAGTGACGAAGAAATAGCAAATCTCTCAGACGCACAGTTTAAAACACTGGTCGTCAGCTTCCTCACAGATCTGGTGGACTATAGCCACAAATTAGAGAAACATATGAAGGCTAAATTAAGGGAAATGAATGGAATTCCACAGGAAACCCATAGAGATGAAAAAAAAACTGGGACTCAACTCAATGGAGTAAACCAGAAGGAAGAAAAAAATGATCAATCAGAAAGGAATGAAGAAATAAGAATTCAGAAAAATGAGGAGAAGCTTAGGAACTTCCAGGACATCTATAAACGCTCCAATATCCGAATTATAGGGGGTACCAGAAGGGGGAAAGACACAACCACCAGTGGAAAAACTATTTGAACAAATAATAAAAGAAAATTTCCCCAATCTGGCAAAGGAAACAGACTTCCAAGAAATCCAAGAAGCCCAGAGAGTACCAAAAAAGTTGGACTCAAGAAGGAACACACCAAGGCATATCATAATTACATTAGCCAAAAATTAAAACGAAGGAGAGAATCCTGGAAGCAGCAAGAACTAAGGGGACAATCACCTACAAAGGAGTCCCCATCAGGCTGTCAGCAGATTTCTCAAAAGAGACCTTACAGGCAAGAAGGGGCTGGAAAGAAATATTCCAAGTCATGAAAACTAAAGACCTACAACCAAGATTGCTCTACCCAGCAAAACTTTCATTTAGAACGGAAGGACAGATAAGGTGCTTCTCAGATAAGACCAAATTCAAGGAGTTCATCATCACCAAGCCCTTATTATATGAAATGTTAAAGGGACTTATCTAAGAAAAAGAAGTTAAAGAAACATGAACAGTGAAAGGACAACAAGCTCACAGGTATCAACAACCACACCTAAAACGAAAGCAAACTAAAAGGACAGCTAGATCAGGAGTGGAAACATAGAAATGAAGAGCTCAAGTAGGGTTAGCAACAGGGGGAGTGGGAGTAGAAGACGGGGAGAGAAGGTACAGAAAACAAGTAGCATAGACAGTAGATAGAAAATAGATGGGGGGGCAAGAATAGTATGGGAAATACAGAACCTAAAGGACTTGAGACACATGGACATAAGCTAAAGGGGGGGTAATCGGGGGGTTGGGGGGACAGGGTGGAGGGGAATGAAGGGGGGAATAGAACAACTGTAACAGCATAAACAATTCAAAAAAATAAAAAATAAAAAAAAATAAATAAATAAATAAAAATTAAAAAAAAAAAGAGGGAAATCTTACTTTTTATGACATCATGGCTGGACCTGGAGAACATTATGCTAAGTGAAATAAGCCAGTCAGAGAAAGACAAATACCATATGATTTCACTCACATGTGGAATCTAATGAACAAAGTAAACAAACAAAATAGAAACAGACTCACAGATACAAAGAACAGACTGACAGCTGTCAGAGGGGAAGGGTGTTGGGGCCTGGGTGAAAAAGGTAAAGGAAATAATCAAAAAAGAAATGAAAAGAAAGGAAAATCTCATGGACACAGATGACAGTGTGGTGATTACCAGAGGGAAAGAGGGAAGGGGGGAGGAGGTAGAAGAGGTGATGTAGGGACAAATGGTGATGGAGGGACACTTGACTTGGGGAGGTGGACGCATAATTCAATATACAGGTGACATATAGAATCACACACCTATTGGGAATAAGAAGCATAAATGGTAGATACAAAATAGACGGGGAGAGATTAAGAATAATGTAGGAAATGAAGAAGCCAAAGATCTTATATGTACAACCCATGGATATGAACTGGGGGTGGGGGGAATGCTGGTGGAAAGGGGGTGCAGAAAAGAGGAGAAAAAAATGGGACAACTGTAATAGCATAATTAATAAAATATACTGTAAACAGAAAAAAAAAGAATTGTATGCCTGAAAGCTATCTAATTATATTAACCAATATCACCCCAATGAATTAAATTAAAACAAGCAAAAACAATATAAGAGAATGGCTTAGATATTTTAGTGTTCGATTATGTATGTATTTATGGAATCGAATTTCATGTGCCAGCCTCGTTCTTGAAGCATCCATTAATATGTGAAATCTCACTGATACAGAATCTTACCGGCCCATGTGGTCTTTCAAGGGCTTATGTTGGCCAGGATTTCACTTGATTTTTATTACTAAAATCTGTAAAGTCATCAAGATTAACAAGGTTTTTAACTATCATGAGAAACTGGCAGAAGACCCTAGTAAAAATTCTCAAATCTTAAGATGAGCCTTCAAGTAGAACAGGTGATTTTAATTCCATTGGCCTGTTCTGTTTTGGAGTGTCAATCTGACGTCTCTCGGAGGAGAGGCCATGGTAACGGCAGGTGGTCTGGGGGCTGTTGCTTTCCTGACACCTGCTTCTATTGGGTGAGAACGGAGTAACTGCAGATTCCAAGACAATGCTGTTCTTCACACCACTGTATGGTTTCATCCTAACATATGGCCTTTTTAAAATCCGACGATTGGCTAAATGTAGTATAACCATAGACATGAACTCCCCTTTGTCCTGATCCTGTTGATTTCTGTGTTTGTTGTAGAATATTTGGAATTTTGCTGGTCTTTGTGGATGTGTCTTTCGTCATTATAGACCTACTTGTCACTGATAACACAATGTATATTCCTTTGGAATATCGTTCAATTTCCTTATCTATTGCTTTATTTTTTCTCATGGATGTTCTTCTTCGAATATTTGTAGAAGGGTAAGTTTTTGTTCAATGATTTGGTTATAGCTCCTACTATACTTAAATTGCCCTATTGATGCTTTTCTTTTATATATATATATATACATACACACATGTATAGAATAATGAATGTGAAATTTGTCCTCTTAACCTAGTTTTAACAATGAATTTAAAATAATTCATTAAAGTGGAATTCTTTGGGGGAATGGGTCAAATAATTTGTGTTCTTAAACATATCCCTATCTCTTCTTGGGAGGCATAAACATATTTTTGTCTTATATTACAGGATACAATTGTTTTTTTCTGACATAGTTAATTCTATAGATGCTGTGATTACCGTGGTGACTCTACTAATTGATTTCACTTATATTTCTAATGACCTTGAGGTTTTTAAAGATATCCCCAGGTAAGAAACCTATGATTCACCTCTCCTAAAGATTTTCCTCCTTGTCTTCATTTTCTGTGGCTTTCACCCTGTGTCGTCTTTTTAACTCTGAATGTCCTGATTCAGCGCCAGACAAGCTATGAGAAAATGAAATGGTGTACCTCCACCTGCTTGGAAACAAAGGCCTGGCGGGACCAGCGAGGGGCGTGCCCGCTGAGCACCTTTCGCTGAGTGAAGAGGACAAAACACCCAAGGAAGCAACTGGGGGTTTCGTCTCTTGTACTAACTTTAACTCCTCATTTTTAAATTCCTACTGCATTAGAGTGTGAGCTTTGACCACAAACTCCTACCTGTGAAATCCCCAGGCCTTTCTAAAAGAGAATATGGCTTTGAGCGTATGCCAATGTTGAGTGACTCTGAGGGTGATGGTCAAACGGAGCAAGTGGAACATGAAACTGGGGGACTAGATAGTGACGCAGAAGTAGAAGATGCAGGATAGTGTACCCAAAATGAGGAAAGCTGAGACAAAGTTGTCACTGTCTGGGATTAATTAGAAGACTAAAATGTGTAGAAGACACTGATAGCTTCTTTTCCTTCTTTCTCTCCCTACTCTGGCAACGTAGAAAGGAAGAACGAACATGTCCCAGGCTGTAGATGCTGGGTTACTCACTAGGCTTATTCATTCGTCCAATAGCTGCTTCTTGCTCCACTTCATCTTCCCTGAACTTCAGTTCCTGTTCCAATGAGACTTGGCATTGTTTGATTGGCTTTGAGAGTTGTCTGAAAATAACTGGAACCAGAACGGTCCTCTGACCGAGAGCAATCTCAGCATCCCCTGAGAGCTTGCTGAAAATGGAAGAAAAGCATCCCCGGCCCCATTCTACACACGATAAATCAGTGTGCCCACTCACACGAGGGCAACACGAGTGCAAACCAGCAGTTCTCTGTCATTGCGCTTCTTGCCAGTGGTAGGCTTGGCAGCAGCTGGCACACCTGGGAAGCACCACCAGGCAGCACACCTGCTGCCTGCCTGGTGTGTTAGCAGCTGGAAGGGACCTTTGTTCTTGATGGAAGTAGCACAGGCAACCATGAATGCTCAGTTTGTATGGATGGGAAAAAGACAGAAAAATACTCCTTAAACCACCAAAGTTAAATCCACTAAATCTAAGTGTTTATTATACAACTAGTTCTCTAAACCAGTTTCTCAACTGGAGCACCATTGATATTTGGGATCAGATAAGCCTCTGCTGTGTGTAGTGGGGGGTGGGGGGCAATCCTGTGCTTTAGTAGCATTCCTGGCCTCTGCCCACTAGATGCAAATGGTACCCCTTACACACAGTTGTGACAATGAAAAATGTCTCCAGACATGGACAAATGTCCCCTACGTGGATGGGCGGGAAGCTTGTGCGGAAGGTTGTAAAGTTACCCCTGGTTAAGAATCACTGCTCCAGACTTCGTTCACATTGATGAACCCCTATTTCTGAAGCCAAAATGGGTCTTTCTAATTCATTGTTAGCTTGATCGTTTTCCTTCGATCTCTGCGACTTGTCATTCTGATGAGAATTTTCCATCTGGTGCACCAGAAAAGACATCTTGAAAAGCTGACCAGAAGGATGGTAAGTGGGCAAAACCCGCGCATCGTTCAGAAAAGTGTGTTTTAGGGAATGCTGGCAAGGGTTATTATACACATTGATATCACGATCTTTATTTTTATGTTGATTTGTTTTATAAATTAATGATTGTTTTAAATGCTCAGGTTTCAGGAAACAAACGACGATACAAGAAGGATGGATTCGACTTAGACCTCACTTACATTACCGGTTTGTGAAGTTTTACTGTTGATGTACTTAGGTTAATTTCACATTTTTCTTGTGTGTAAGTAATTACGTATTTTTATTGTTCTTGCCTTGTCTAAGCCATGTTCTTTCAAAGTATTCTTTTTAAAAAAATTTATTTATTTAATTGTTGTTCAAGTACTCACAGTATTCTTTATTCGTGAAGAGGTATGCCTCTCTGGTAGTGTGACCTATTTGCAGTTTAATCCTGAGAATATTTTTTATTGTCATGTCAAACCTGGGCTATTTGGTTATAGTACAGGGAGTTGAATGGATTTTCAACTGACCCCATTTGTTGGGTTTACTTTTTTAAGAGTTTGTTTATTTGTTTTTAGAGAAAGGGGAAGGGAGGGAGAAGGAGAGGGAGAAAAACATCCATCAGCCAACCCCATCGGCTTGCGCGATGACTCCCTGCCCACTGAGCCATGCTAGCCAGGGTTGTTTGGTTCAGAATTTATTGAGGTCTGAGTCCCAAGGGTCCCAGAGAAACCTGTTCTTTTCCTAGAACCCCAGAGAAAAATGTCACTGCTTTGTAGACATCAGGCTTCTGAGTCAGGAGCCCTGCAAAGCATCCTGGGAGGTCCCACCCTCACTGGAGCCCAGACCTCTCATTTTCCTTTGGCGTTTAAATAAGAAAGAAATTCCCACCACAGGGTGAGCTCCAGACGGTGGTCAACACCAATCTGTGGCATGTGGCTGGAACCAACTGGGTGGGGAACACGTGGGAGTTTAATGGTCGTTGCCTGGATAATTTAATATATTATCTTGATTATCCTGGGGGTGGGTTAGCATTCGTTCCTGTCATTCTCAATCCTGAAAGTTCTTTTCTGTGAAAAAGAAGTCTGATTACATGTGAACAAAGTTCTCGCTCAGCATCTGACATCTGCACCGACGTCCGTGGCGGTGACTGTTTTGACTTGCAGGGCGCATCATTGCCATGTCGTTCCCGTCTTCTGGACAGCAGGCTTTCTTCAGGAACCCCATTCAGGTGAGAGCACCTCCCGAGCAAACTCTCATGTCTCAGAGCCGTCGACCGTGCAGTCGTGCACATGGTATTGCCCGGAGATGGAAGCATTCTCCTAAACATGCGCTCTCTCGGGCACCTTCTTTTCCTTATGATTTGCTTAAATAACCTTTGATTATATGTACATGTACAATGTACATCATGCATGTAATGTGCGTGTAATGAATACAGTTCACAGCACATTTAACACACACAATAAGTGTATATTGGTTCTGTATCCTGCAACTTTAATCAATTCTTTTATTACTTTTAATGGCTTTCTGGTGAAGTCTTTAGGGTTGTCTCTATATGGTATTGTGTCATCTGCAAATAATGACAGTTTTATTTCTCCCTTTCCAATTTGGAAGCCTTTTATTTCTTTTTTTAAAAACCTGATTGCTGTATGTAAGACTTTCAGTGCTATATTGAATAATAGTGGTGAAAGTGGGCACCCTGAAAGATTACATATTTAAAAAAAAAAAACAAAGTGGTACTTCTCCTCTTGTTCCTGGTCTTAGAGCAAAACCATTTACCTTTTTATTGTTGAGTTTGATGTTGTTATATTGTTATCTCCTTGGAATATTGATGAAGTTCTAAGAAGTCATTCATCCCTTTACCATTTTTAATCAGTGTAGCTGAAGAAGTGGTAATTAATCATCTGCTTTCATAAAATCCATAAGTCATAAATCACCCCCAAAGCATATCTACTATTCATATTATTAATTACTGTCATCTTTTGCCAAAGGGCAGGCTTGAGTGGGTTTTTACATTTCATTCCTCAATCGACCTGGATTTTATTTTGGTGTAAGGCGTCCTATGAATGTCTATATAAGACTATGTATCCTCCGCTGCTCAGTACTATGCAGACTCAGAATGCTTTTTTCTTTTACTTGAAAGGGATTAACCAATTCATGGATTAATTACTTTGATGACTTAATTTTTATCTATATCAATATTAAGCCATCCTAATCCATTTTTAATAGACCTTTTTTGTTGTTGTACAGAGACATATGCGCATGCATACACGTGTGTGTTTCTGAAGCATACATTTGCTGAAGTGTATTAGCATGGTGACAATAACTATATTTTAGAAAATAATCACTACTTAAGTTTTATTTTTAGAGTTATAGGTATATATACACACTGTATTTACATGTAGACACATAGACACACAGACATACATTCATTTTAGTTGACCATCTAATTTCCTTTTCTGGTACCTTAAACCCTGAGCATTTGTAGCAGAGGCCAGTCAGAGGGCCAAGCAAAACTTTGTGGGTTATTAGAAAAACACTAGTGGGTCAGATATGTCTTGGAATGTTCATAACCTCCTATTTATTTCCTGAATCTCCCCGAAAAGGTGCTAAGTGAGGGACAAGTGAATAAAAGGTGGTGGCCACTGCAGGTTACTCCTAGACGGTAGGTTGTGTTGGTGCCGTGTGGATTTATGGAAGACGTGTGTCCATCTCCCTTAGGAAGTTGTGCGGTTCCTGGACACCAAGCATCGAAACCACTATCGAGTCTACAATCTTTGCAGTATGTACAAGACTGGATGTTTCGCTTCTCTGGTTAGAAAAGAGGTCACTGCATGGACAAAGATGATTCAGTTTTCACGTTTCATTTTTGGTGGGGTTGGGAAGTGGGTTAAGAGCCCCGTCTGGTAGGGAAAGATGGTTCGCCCAGTCCCAAGTGCCATAGGGCTGGCAGGAGGCTGGAGCAGAGGTGGAGCCATTTTAGGAAGAGTCTCTTCTAGTGGTGTTAGGTGTAGGAAAATATTTCTGGTTTTTTTTCTTCCAGGTTTGAAGACATACAATTCTACAAACGCATTCTCTAACCTACTAGGAGTGGGGCGTGGGGATAGCAGGGCTCTCCACAAAATAAAACAAAACCCTACGGAAAACGTTACATTCCAGACTACTCCTCGGTCTCTCTTGATTTTTCCTCTTCCTGCGAATTAGACATCGTTAGGAGGCAAACCTATCTGTTGGGCACATTTGCTTCTGTCCTGTGGTGTCGAAGTACCCTAGCATAATGTGAAGCGTAACCTGCTAGACAATTAAAAGTAAGGCTTGTGAAACATTAAAAAAGTTGGGCTTATGTTCCTCAAGATGGACAAACCACTATTATCCTTATGTTTTCGAGAGCCTTAAGTTTCTTTTAGTGTAGACGGACCCAGTCGGAAAGCTCCTTTTAAAGGGGAATAAGGAATTTCTAATAGAAAACTACAACTTATCCCTCACTAGATAATTAACTATGTTTACTTGGGTGTATGTATCATTTATTTTAGGTGAAAAAGCTTATGACCCTAAGTACTTCCATTATCAGGTCCACCGACTCATGGTTGATGACCACAATGTGCCTTCTCTGAGGTGAGCATTATGCTGAGGGGGCTGTCATAAGAAGGGCAAATACACTGGGCTTGATTTTTTGAAAGTCTTTGAATTCAACTAACAATCTTACATTTGACATCAGTGAGATGGTGGAATTTTCCAAAGAAGTACAGAAGTGGATGGCTGAAGATGACAAGAACATCACAGCGATTCACTGCATGGGAGGCAAAGGTAAACACATTTTTCTTTTTATTTCTCCTTAGAAAATTAGGAAAAAACATTCAAGTACAAGAACACAATGCATACTGATCTTAGTATTGATGATTGTTAACATTTTCAAATATTAGCTTCCAGACTGAAGGAAAACAAGGGAAAAGGAAGGAAGGAAAGAAAATTGGCGTGGAAGGACTAAGGAAGGTTGAGCCTAATTTCCCTTTATGAACTATTTGGATTTTTTCATTTTTGATTTGCCAAAATACCGACTCTGTTAAAATTTAGAAACTGTCAAAGTGCTTTAGTTTTATTTAAGATTTTTATTAAACTTTGTAAGACCCTTTTAAGGTTCAAGGGGGCAACAGTAATGCTATTTCATAGACAAAAAATTACCTGAAATGTTTATAGTATTATGACATAAAAAAGTCGATTTTGGTAGGGGTGAATTATTTTAAAAAGCCATTTGTAAACCTAACCAATTTAAGTTAAGTTAGGTTTTCTCTTATTCAGCTTTAGGCTTTTAGTAATAGCCATCCAAACAAAATTCAAAGTTTCCGACAAAGAATTATATATTTGGGTTTTTACACTGATTTCCAGGAAAACACAGCACTTTGAAACTGCCTTATATGGTTGAGTAGAATCAAGTTTTAGTCTTACATGAAAATTAGTTTCAAGCCCATTAGTAGTAGGCAAGTTGTATTGTTAGTCCTGCAAGTTGAAATATTCTGTGTATATTAGCAAATTATAATACCATGGATTAATAGAGAACATAGAGGTTGAACCATATGGAATTGCTGGGTTTTGACTGTTTTTTACTTTCAAAAATAGCCACATCATGTGGCTCATGGTGGAAGCAATTGACTTTCGTTTTCTGATAAATAAAGCCCAGTCTTTCCTTGAAGAAAAATACTCATTTCTAATTTAAATTTGTTGTTGTGTTGAGAGGGGACTTATATTATTCTGTGTTCACATGCTGTTCATTGATTTTCCTTGAGGATTATTCGGAGGGTTGGTATACAGCTGGTGTGCCCCAATCAGTGGCTTTTTTCAGTGTTTCTTTCATATTGGCTTTGCTCTCGCTGGCGGGCACCTGCACATTACGTCTCACGCTACTCAAAATACTTTATTATTAATGTATAGGACTTATTTAAGTAATCTGAATGCTAAATTTTTGTCAGGAATTTATATTGCAGATATCTTCTCCCACTGTGCTGTCTTTCGAATTCGATTATGATTTATTTTGTCATAGAGACATTTGTCACTTACATCATAAAATTTATCAATCTTTTTATGGGTGTGGTTTGTGCTTTTCATGTTAAAGAAATCCACCCATATACTGGGGGAATGCAGACAACTCCACCTACAAAATATTAAAGTCTCAGTTTTTACATTTGGGTCTTTAATGTAATTGGAGTTTGGGAAGGGTGCTTTTTCCCGCAGGGATAGACACCATCTATTGCATGCTCATTGATTCTTCATTGACTTGGAATCCCTCCTCGCGCATATAGCAGGGTTCTCCAATGTTTGGGACTATTTTTGAATCTTCTACACCACACTATTATAATTTTTATAGGTTTATAATATATCTTGATGAAGACAGGATTGTCTTCTGCCTTCTACATTTTAGAATCATTTTATCAAGATCTACAATAAAATATGTTTAGGATTTTTATTGGAACTCTCAAATTTATAGATTAATTTGAAAAAACTGAAGCTTTGCAATATTGAGTTATACTGAATAGTTTTCTATTTATTTGGATCATCTTTTCTCTTTCAATAATATTTCCTACTTTTCTTCCAGATGATCTTGTGTATCTTCCATTAAATTTGTCATCAGGCATATTGCTCCTGTAAATGGAAACTTTTTTTCTATTATATTTGAATTGTTTCCAGTTTTTAAAAAATATTTTATTTATTTTTTAGAGAGAGGGGAAGGGAAGGAGAAAAAGTGGGAGAGAAACATCAATGTATGGTTGTCCCTCATGTGTCCCCCACTGGGGACCTGGCCTGCAACCCAGGCATGTGCCCCGACTGGGGATCAAACTGGTAACCCTTTGCTTCACAGGCCCGTGCTCAACCCACTGAGCTACACCAGTCAGGGTGAATTGTTTCCAGTTTTTATTCTGATAAATAATGCACATGATTCTTGTACCAACAATTCTGTTGAGTATATACCTTGGACTAGAATCATTGCGCTTTAGAGTAATGCATCTCAAACTTTCAGAGACAATGTCATCTGTGTTCCCAAACAGTTGTGCCTGTTGGAACTCCACTGGCAATCTATGAAAGCACCATGTCCCACATCTTGACCAACATGTGAGTTCTTAGCCTTTTGACTTTTAGTTTTGGGTGGGTGTGTAGCTGTGTCTCACAATGGCTTTCCTTTGCATTTCTGTGATTACTGAGAAGACAGAGAAAGTTTTCATAGGTTCATTGGCCTGTTGGATAGCTATCTTTTTTGTAACATTCTGTTTAATTTCTCTGTTCATTTTTCTCCTGGATTGTTTTTTCCCAGTTGACATATAGGAAGTTTTTAATGTATTTTGGGTTTTTCAACTCTGTTATTTGTTATATATGTATTGCAAGAAACCTTTTCTGCACTCTAACTTCTTTCTAGCATTTGGTTAACAGAAGTTCTTGGTTCTAACATAGTCACTATACTATATCACTACCTCTCTTTATAAGGCTAGTGCTTATTTTTCTGTCCTGATGCACTTAACAGGCATTCCCCTATATTATCTTATAGAAGGTTCATTCCATTGGAAATCGATTTCTGTGTGTGGTGTGAGGAAAGGGCCAAGTTGCCTCTTTTCCCATGTGACCACCCAATTGTCTCAGTACCCCGATTGGACCTTCATTTCTTCACAGCTCTGCGGGACATTGTGTTTCTGGACTTTCTGTTCTGTTCATTGGTCTTTGTTTATCTGCATGCCGATAGCACAACTGTGTTACTTGACACCAGCCAGGAAATCCACCCAGCTTGCTCTTCTTCACAACTGTTTGGGTTTCATTACGCCATCTATGTCTCCATTTAAATTTTGTAGTTGCTAGTCAAATTACACACACATACACACACACTTGATTCGATTTTGTTTGGAGTTGCCTTGGGTCTGTAGACTGAGGAGAACTGAAATCTTTACAATACTGAGTCTTCCATCCAGGACACCTGCCTCAATTTACGGAATTTTCCTAGTTTTTCTTTATTTTTAAAATTATGAATATAATTGAATTTTAGTGAATGCCTTTTCCTGCACTTACTGAGATTATTGCAAGTTATGTCTTTTAATCTGCGAATGTAATAAATCACACTAACATAGATTCCTGACATAAGATGATGCTTGCATTCCTGAGATAAATGGCCCTTGATAGTGATACCTATTTTTCTACATTGTCGGACTCACTCTCAAGACACTTCAATTAATTTTTTTTCAATTAATTTTTTTAACATCTATATTCATGAGTGAGACTAATGTAAAGCTATCCTTTCTTCTATTATATTTGTGCAGTTTTAAAGTTAGTTATACTAGTGTTATTAAATGGGTTGGGAATTCTTCATTTTTTTACTATTACTTAAAAATATAAAAGATAAAAATTATTGCTTCCTTATGGGTTTGCTATAAATCTCATCTTGTCCTTTTCTGGGGAGGTGGTAAAAAAGACTGATTATAAATTAAAATTTTAACGCAATGTTATTGTTCTATTTACGTTTTCCTTCTTGAGTAAACTTTTTAATTGAAATTTTAAATGTAAATTTTAAAATGATTCCCATAAAGTTATACTTACAGTGTTTTCGTATTTCTACTGTCGTCATAATTTTGTCCTTACTTTTATTTCTTTTTTAAAATTTCCTTTAAAATTTTTTAAAGATTTTATTTATTTATCTTTAGAGAGGAAGGGAAGGAGAGAAGGGGAGAAACATCAGTGTGTGGTTGCCTCTCATGGGTCCCCTGCTGGGAACTGGCCTGCAACCCAGGCATGTGCCCTGACTGGGAATCGAACCATAATCGTGTGGTTCACAGGCCCACACTCAATCCACTGAGCTACACCAGCCAGGGTCTTACTTTTATTTCTAATATTTGCACCTCCCTTTATAAGATGCATTTTATAAGAGATTTGTTTATTAGTTTCTTGGGGAAAAACCTGATATTTAATGTTATTCATCCTGTTTTAATTTGTGTTTCATTAATTTCTACTTTAATATTTATACACTTTCTACTTATTTTGAGTATACTTGTTTTCTTTTACCTTCTTGAACAAAAAACTCAGCTGATTAAATTGTAATTTTACAATTTTTTTATCTATGCATTTAAAGTCAATGTAGTTTCCTGTTAAAATAGCCTTAGCTAATTTTTAACTATTTTATAGGTACTGTTTTTGTTTTCCTTTAGTTCTGAATAATTCATGATCATGCTACTAATTCTCCTAAAGATAATTCCAAAAATCTCCTGATTTTTAACCACAGAGATTAGGTAGAAGCGATTTTTTAAAAATCTGGATTATTTTAAAGTTATTTTAAAATCAACTAGTGTTCAGGAGTTCTAGCCACGTTTTCAGCACTGATTCTCCGTTGTACTTGTTCAGAGATAGTCACCAACCTTCAAGGCGCATTCCATGTACTAACAGCAGCAGCAGCTAGGACCCAGTTAGAAAAGCACAATGTCACCATTTAGCATGTAAGTTCCACATCGTTGGGAGTGGCGATGGACAGGGCTCTAGAAAAAACAAACAAAGCTTCAGGGCTGCTGTAGAAGGTCCTATAAACAAGCATGAACGTGTCTTGCTCTTTGACTATGTGAAAGCGTCTTGAACTTGTAGAACCTCAGTCTCCCCTTCCTCATCCCAGGTTATTTGTCTCGCATAGTTGCTGTAAAGATCACAGGAGATCTGTAAGGCATTACCCAAATTTTAGTTATTATCATTATGAAAGTCAGAAATTATATTACATTTAGAGGAGCAGAATGCTTCGGCCGACTTCAGAGTAACAGAAGCCCGAGTCCTGACTCCCGTCCGACCAGCTTGGTGGATCAGGTGACGTTCTCCATTCCCTCTGGAAACTTGCTTGTCGGTGTCCCCGGACACAGTGACGACTTGCAGCTAGGAGCTCCTCTTTGGGATGCCTTGTGTTCCTGCTCCTACCAGGGTCTGCCAGTGCCACTTGTCATTGTACTGGTGGCAAGTAACCAGATATTGCATGGATCTGTGAAATGGCAGAGTGAACAGAAAAAGTTATACTTTTATGAAACATAAGTAAATGTTTCAAGAAGATTCATTGAAGTTGAGTGGCTACAACTAACTTGTTAAACATAAATAAGACTAATGTAAAACGCTGGGAGAAAAATTCCGTTAGTAAAATCTAGAAGGGTCTGCCCCTAGCTGGCTTTCAAAATTCTGAAACTAGATCTCATAGCTGATGCAATGGTCTAGACCGAGGACCTGGTCTTTCCAAGAAAAAAACTCCAAAACCTTTGCCCAATATCAGAAGTTTAGTGAATAAATGCACATTTATGTTTTAAGTGAAAGGTAGGCAATATCATTTTTATGATTCCCTGTGGTACCCAAGGCTGGAGAGAGGACATGTACTGTGGCTGAGTTTGTATTTATTTGCAGCCACAAAAGTGCAAATCTGCAAAAGTGTTTTTCAAAAGGATGATATCAGAGTTACAGAGATCCAGCAAGGTCCTCCAAAAGGGACTTGTTAATAGTCTACATGCGACTGAAAGCCAGGCTGTCCCGGAACTTTTCTCTCTCACAGAGCGTGGTGGTACAAAGTCCTCTCTTAGAAGTACTTGGCTTAAAACAGTGATTTTCAAAATGTGGGTTGGGTTTAGCACTTCATTTAAAAAGGATAGACTAGAAAATGGAGTGCATCAGGTTAAAAGGATAAGTTTGGAATTACATAAGTTCAGCATATACTGGTAAGACAAAAGCTACAGATCATTGTAGAATTTTTAAAAAGCAATGTATTTTTTAACTCAGGTTTGTATGTCAAGATAAAAATATAAATTGGAATAAAAGAAAAGAGACTTGGAGGATGAAATGACACGAAATCAAGGGTTTGTTTTTAAATGCTACAGGAGAGAGGGAGGAGGAGGAGGGACAGGAGGTAGAGAGAGGGAGGAAGAGAGAGAAATTAAACAAGTGCAACAATATAATATAACAATGATAGAATCCAGGGACTGGCACATGGACATACAGTTCGCTGTTCTCTACTTTTATGTATGTTTTGTAACTCACTGAAAAAGTAAAATGGAAGAAATAACGGGTATTGCCAATGCTAGATGATTTTGGGGGTTCTAACTACGTTCTTTTACTGATGTTAGAAAAACAGCATATTTAATTAGTTCTTAATCAGAGAGTCGCTCTTCCACGTTCCATTCCTAGAGCAGAGCAGGCTGCCTCTGGAGTGACTGCACCCCCAGCCGCAATGCTGAGGGGACAGCCCACTCAAGCACGTACGAGTTCTGCTCACGGTGAGGAGGATTGCCCGGCAGAACCTCGCAGCCGTGAAACGGCTTTGGCTACTACTGAATCAAAATGTTCTGAACAAACACTCTCAGAGTTAAAGGAAACCAATGCAAAATGAACTCCAAATATTTCTCAGAGTATTTTTAGATCACGTAGGACCCTGGACAATGGTTCCTGAATGAACTTCTCTCCTTTTCTAGGACGAACCGGAACGATGGCTTGCGCCTACCTTATTGCCTGTGGAATATTTAAAACCGCTGAGGTAGGAGGAATGTGCCTACAAACTTTGTCACATGCTGGTTGCATTGGCTAGTTCTGGAATGTTCCTGGGGGGGTCAGATGGTTGTTTGAGTTGTGACACTTGATGAAATTGTAACTAGGGAGGCTGTAATGGGAAAGCCCGGTTTTAACCCTTCCTTGTTTGCTTGCGTTAGTTATAACTGACCTAGGTACCTCTTAACTCTGGGACAGGACCAGGGTGAGGCCAATATGACATTCACCTTGGGCACAAACGTAAGAGAATGCCAAAATACCCACAGTGGAAATAAATAACATTCTACTGAAATATTTTTTAAAATAAAAATCAACATAAAAATATCCATAATGCATACAATATCAACATTGTACATACAGACAGTACCCAGTAGGGGCAAGGTTAAGGTCAGGTAGGGTCAGGTTATGCAAGTGCAAGAAAGCTCAGCAATCAAGCCTTCGACTGCCTCACCTAGTCTGGCCCTGCTCTTACTCCGACCAGTTATGGGACTTCCTCCTTTCTCACGAGATGAATTGCAAGATTGGTTGGGTGAGTCTCTGAAGGGCCTTGATCCTTAGCAGTGCTAGGTTCTAACTCAGGACAAAGCCTCTCCTGAGTGTTAGCTTTGCCTGCTCAGTATCTGTGGGGTCTGAGCCCCCTGGAGATTTCCGAGAAGATAGGGTGGGCGGTTTATGCCTCTTAAAGCAGGGTTCTTGGTCTTTTTTTACGCCATGACCTCGCTGAGAAGTCTCTCCTTGGAGGACATGCTCCCAGCAGCTCGGCTCCTCACTTGGCCTGCAGCCGAGGGGAGAAGCAGCGCCTCCGCACGATGTCCCGGACTCTGTTTCCACCATCTGCTTCCGTTCTAATTTGAGGCACCCAGGTTATGACCACGAATGCTCAAGGACAGTGTTTTTATTTTAAAGATTTTATTGATGTATTTTTTAGAGAGAGGGGAAGGGAAGGAGAAGGAAAGAAACATCAATGTGTTGTTGCCCCTTGCACAGCCCCCAGTGGGGACCTGGCCCACAACCCAGGCATGTGCCCTGACTGGCAATCGAACTGGTGACCCTTTGGTTCGCAGGCTGGCATTCAATCCACTGAGCCACACCAGCCAGGGCTAGGACAGTGTTTTTTCAACTATATATCACAGCCTGTCCATGAGTTATTGGGTTGCAACTCGTATATTTTTTAATAACGTGGAATAGGTTAGGAAACATCAAAAGGTGAGTATTGTCTTGTAAAATTGTTTCAGTTGGGTGTGTGCATCTCCTTGGTTTCTCAATGTGGATTGCGGCTCTTAAAATAAAAAAGTTTGAAAGCCAACGATCCCCAGCCTTAGCTGGAGAGCCAGGGCCCAGTGTGCCAGGCCTGTGCTGTCTCTAACTGGCTGCATGCGTCCTCCTGACGGGTCACTGGTTTTCTGTTGGTCTCCGTCTTCTCCATTTGTGAAATGGAAAGGTCGGAAGACAGAACAGGTGATGTGAGTTCTCTCCAGCTCTGCAGTTCCACATCCCGATGAATCTCTGAATGAGAGAGAGCCTCAGTGTGGCTTTGTTCATTCTGTCACTCAGGGTGGCCTCTGCCCAAAGACTGTGGGCTTAGGGAAACACACGCCCTTAGAAACTCTAAGGATGCCGTACACAGGAGCGGAAAGGGTGGGGAACCACGGTTGCATTGTCCCCTTTCCCACAGGAAAGCCTTCGTTATTTTGGAGAACGACGAACAGATAAAACCACCAGCAATAAATTTCAGGGAGTGGAAACTCCTTCTCAGGTAAGTTTTCTCTGTAAAGAGGAGGTCCTTGGGGGGGGGGGGTTGGGTGAAGATTGGCACCTGTTTTGTGGTTGCAGTTTCGGCTTCTCCTTGGTGGTCAGGCAGCCACACGTGGGTGCCCGGTGACAGGCCCCCCTCCCCTCCCTGAGGCTGAGACCTGTGCTTTGGCCGCTGCCCCAGCTTCGCAAGCACTGAGCTCTCGTTTAATACTCACATAACCTGGGTGGAATAGACGCTTTATCCTCATTCCTTCTTGTAAAAGGGTTTTGTTGTTGAAACGTCGAACATGAAAAGCTGAGACAGTCAACATAAAGGCTCTTAAGAAAAATCTTAAAACCATTGATCACATCTAAAACTATGATGATATCTTAATAATGTCAAATGTCTGGTTCCTCTTTAAATGTCTCTGTCTTTATCTTAAAATCTTTAAGAGTTTTAGTGTGTTTCCATCAGGAGCCAAGTGAGGGCTGGACGTTTCGTTCGATGGCTCTGTCTCTCAGGTCTCCTGCGGCTCACAGGTCTCCCACCTCTTTGTTCCCCGTGGTTTGTCCATTGCAGAACCCCAGGGTTTCTCCTACAGAGTTTACCCATTCTAGACTGGACTGAGCTGGGCTGAGGGTTTTGCGTTTGCTACCTCATTTCATATTCTCAGTAACTCTGTGAGCGGGCACCACAGCGAGTCCCATGTTACCTTGGGAACTTGAGGTTCAGGGAAATGGCCTTTTCAAACCAGGAACACAAGCGAGATCCATCGGACCCTAGAGCCTGCTCTTTCCCATGCTGTGCACACAGCTTCTCCTCCACTGTATGGCCCTCAGACCGGGGCGACAGCTGGTGGGGAATGGACACCTTACGTAGAACAGACGTCACTGTGAATGAAAGATTGGGGGGGTGAAGTGATTTCTGAGCTGAATAGGTACCTTGGCCTTGTTAGCAAAACACCGCAACTGCTGGCTGCAGACACTTAGTTTGGGGCAAAGACCTTAGCCTTATCCCCCGAAACTGTTCTGCCATACCCAAGTAAAAAAAAGAGAAAAAGAAGAAAAGCTCTAGCCCACACTGACAGGAACCCACGGACCTCGTGAAGCCCAGCCCAGCTCTCGTTGAGCCATTTCCACGCTCCAAGTCCATGATGGTTTCCAATGGCCAATGGCAACAAGTATCAATGTCTTCACCTGGCATGGAGATCCACGATTTATTTTCCAGTTGCTCCTCCCACTGCATGCAGTCACGTGTCCCACGCTCTAACACGTCTGGGCTGCGTGCGGCTTCCCAGCTGGCAGCCCCTGACACCCACGGGCTGTGGTTCACGTGGACTCCCTTCCTGGAGCCCCTCCACGAAGCTCCTACCCTCACTCAGCTAGAGTCATCCCCAGTCGCCGGTGACTGCATCTGGCTGGGAGGTAGCTGCTGCATTGGCTCGGCCAGCTCACCCTCTTGGCGGTGGCAGCTGTCAGCAGCACCTGCTCTTTCCCATGACTCCCCGCGGCGTTTTTCCCAACGTGGATGGCAGGTCACAAGACAAAACCCACAGAAATGCATGGTCATATAAAGGCACCAAAACATTTCCTCACTCAATGGCCCCCGTTCAATTCTGTGTGGAAAACAAATCAGATGTGCTGATTTTAGACTCTCTTTGCCATGGAAATTGAGGCTTGTTTTCTTTTTCAGAGTCGATATGTTGGATATTTTGCAGATGTGAAAAACATCTATAACTTGACTCTCCCTCCGAGAAACTTACTTGTGATAAGAAAAATTGTTATTTATTCAATTCATGGTAAGCTGTATGCATTACGGGAGAATTGGGGGGAGCAATGATCTTGCCGTTTGGGAGGGTTTTGCCCACAGTGATGTGCACGGCACCCCAGCTCAGAGCTGTCTCGTTGGACGTCCTCGCATGGAACCCCATCACTGCCGTCAGCCTGGCGGTGCTGCGGACGTATTACCAGTCTTTAGATGTCCTCCCTCTCTCTTCCCCGTCACCAGTGTGAGGGACTCTGTCCCCTTCCTTTTCTCCTGTTCTCACCGACGGCTGGGGTGGGCTTTTCACAGCAGACCCTTTGAGTCAGGAGGGAGGAAGGGCCCGTGGGTGCTGGACACGTCCTCCCCCTCGTACCCTCCTCTGGTGCAGGTTTGTCTTGGCAGAGGCCTGCCCACTTTGTCCCCTACGTCTGTGTCATCACCCTGGTCTCTCCCTTTCCCCTCCCTCCTCCACCGGTCACTCTCTCTCCTTCAGCAACTCTGTCGAAATGCCTTAAATACCCTCAGTGTAAATGAATTTTGTTGCCACAAATTCTTTTTCACAAATAACTACCAAGCACGCTTTGGGCCCAGACCCACGCCCTTCGGGAGCCCTGGCTGGGGCGCAGAGCCAAGGAGTGAGTGCTCAGATAAAGCGCTGGCCGGCCACCGAGGTGGGGGCACGCAGAGGCCAGGCTCTGTCCAGGCTGGGGTCGAGAAATGCTGTCTAGGGGTCAGCAGTTGGGTCCCCTTGCCTTAGTCTGCACAAACAGGAGGAGCTGGGGAACCTGGGCTCAGTGGGGTGTCCTAAACCCCCAGCCATTACCACTTACTACCAGGAATAAAAAACTGTATACTCTTCAAAAGAGTGGGCTAGATCTACCATCACCCCCAGCAGCAGAGACATACAGCCTTGAGGGGGAAGGAAAAAGAGGTGGGGACAGGAACCGGCCTCCAGCCCCGCGTCTTATCTGCCTAGAAGTGTGCAGGACTTTGGACTGGCTCCACCAGTTTACTGGTCCCTTATTAACGGACGGGTTAAATAATTTTCAACATGTGTTTTTAAAAGGGCAAGGTACAGCCCAGTGCTCTGCTGCACAACAATGTCCAACAGAACAAAGGAAGAAACGTGATTTTATGTTTGTGTGTATGTGTGTTTGTAAAACCTGTGGCAGAATAGATATTTATATTTGCTGATAAATGCATAAAACAAGAAACAAAAAGCGGGGCTATCTACTTGGGGGTGGAGACTTAAACAGGCCTGGGGTGGGTAAGACATCGATTTTTCAATTCCTGTATTTTTTGCCATCAATTTTTAAATCATGTGATTACTCAACAATTTTTTTAAATGCGTGGGAATTAATTTAAGCTTGTAAATCAATGCCCTTTTCTTATCACATGATAAGTACGTGACTTGGTTTAAGTCCTCATGTCACTGATCTCTGGTGACCATCCATGGGGGAGTTCTGCAGCCGGGGTGGCAGTGGGGGGACCCCTAACGACCAGTTAATAATGTGCCGTTAGTGGAAACAAAAGTAAATGAAAAGAAAGCCAACATAATACGAGGGGAATGATTGAGAATGATTACTATGTGACTTCATGGGAGTATTTTTTTAGTTCTGTACTTTTGTCTAGTCCTGTGCATGTTTAAGTGAAATATGCAGGGTCGAGGGGAAGCAAGAGAAAGTAACTGGAGGCTTGAGAAGTGAGCCCTTTGAGGAAATGCTACAGGAAGGGGCTCATTTGAATTGGAAAAAAGGGCAAAAAACCATTTGGCTATAATGTATACTGAACACCACAGGAATGCTCGGGTGTCCAATACTGTCACAGAAACTGCTCTCTAGGAACAAGGGAAAGAGGTATCAAGAAATATCGTGGCTTGAAATTTGAAGGCAGCAACACTTTAGCAAGAAAGGCTCCAGATCACTTTCCCTCATTTCCATTTTCTAGACAGGTGAAGCTTTGAAGCTGAAGTGTACGTCTTTTATTTTTTTCCTCCATACTCATCAAGTCTGCTTCAGGAGACAGAACTGGCTCATAAGCCTTGTCTTTCAAAGGCAAAACTCATGCAAACTCAAATGATTCGATATTGATACATTGTTAGCTGGGATTTCTTCTCTTTTTAATCCATAATGCTAATTGGTGAGACATTTTGGTCTTTACCGTGGCTTTTTATTTTTATTCAGGTGTTGGAAAAGGCAATGGAGATGATCTACAAGTACAAATAATAATGCTCCAAAAGATTGTCTTTTTTTGTTCTGCTTCTACAAACTGTAGGGTAAGAGAACACACGACTGAAAAATCATAATTTTAAATCTCTGTCAGTTCAGCATGTTGACCTGCCCAAACCCTCCCTCACCACAAAGAGAAGCCGTGCTGCTTTGGGGTACTATCCAATTTGGTGGCCCTCTCATGGTAAAGAGCTGTAGGGAGAGCGGAAGACACACTGTGTGCCCACAGTCAAAGACAGTCAATATCTTTGTCTCAATATACTTCCCTGTAAAGTAAATATTATGTTTCAAGTACTGTGAGAATGGAAATTGGGTCAGCCATGCAAAGTGGCTCTGTAAGCTCTAAATGCCTAAGTAAACGTTATCTGTAACAACGATCAGGCCACTTTGTCACATAGGAAGTGCCCCACCGTAGTCTTCAACAACTTCATTCTTATTTCCCCGGCTCTTGAACGCTCAAGATAGAGCCCTATGATACTTGAGCTCCTTTCCATCAGTCTCTTGACCTCTCTCTACTCCCGTCCAAGGAGGCTTGGACCCAGCTGGCCCTTGGAACACAACTTTGTAATTTCTGCCTCATGTTTTAACTGGCCTTTCCTCCTCCCCTCCCCCACACGCCCCTTGTCTGTACTCCATTCTTTCCAGGAATCCTATGTATACAAATCTTCCCATGTCCTGCTCAAGTGCTGCCTCTTCAGAGATGCTTTCTCACTGCACACCTCCTGGTGACCCCCCGAAACACGCAGCAGCGCGCTCAGCCTTCATTGCACAGCATGACTCACCATCACACGCCATCCTACTCTCATGTCCTTATGGGACGGCTCCCTGAGCTGTCAGCTCAGCCTGCACCTTCCCTGGTGTTTTACACGGGGTCTACCAGAGACCCTTCTCACTGTGGGTAGCACTACTACACCAGGATGAAACGATAACAAAGAAATACTCAGTATGGCTTCAAAGGTGTTCATTCTGGAAACTTGGCCTCTCTTTGGTCTCTTCGTTGAGCAATCTGCTCTGGACAAGGCCTGTGATGTTTGTTGGACAAAACATGACCCGTTAGGCATTGCTTTTTGACTGTGAACGGCAGCTTGAAAATGGAGCTTCTTACTGTATCCCCAAAATATGAAAACCAGGGACACACATGCTACAGTAACGTTTGCTGGGGTAACCCCTAATAGAAAATGAAGTGCTTTGCTTTTTAACAGTGCCCCCCTATAACCCTCAAACCTATTGGGCTTTTAAAAATGCAGACAACTTTATAGAAATAATGATTAACATTTATTTATACATGTAGTAATAGGGCCAGAAGACCAAGAGTCCTTGGTAAACAGAGGAAGCGTCAAAGAACCTGACTTACCTCGTATCAGCTGTTGCAGTGTCCCACTCCCTGAATGCGTGTGTTCACCCACAGATAGTCCACGACGTGGAAAGAGACAGAGTGATCATCCATCTCAGCAGCTGCCCGCCTCTGCACGATGACGTCAAGGTGCGGTTCCTGTCCTCGGTGAGTGCGGGCTTGGGGTTGCCTTTGTCACATACCCAACAGCGACTCCTAGGCGGAGAGGAAGACAGAACCGAGTCAGACCAGTAACGCTATTTTTTTTTTAAAAGAACATAATGTTATTTAACATTCTTGCTCATTTTTTCTAGAGTCTCTACAATTCACATGTATTAATTTTCACGTAAGTAATATAAAAACTAAGATGTAGAAAAAACAAAGGCATGTTTTACTGCATAGCATCCATCACATTTTTGTTTTATGTCTTTAAAACACATCACTCCACATAATTTATAAAATACTTTAAAGCGAAGATTTTACTTGTCCCTAAATTGTTATGTAATACCTTATAAATAGTATTTTTAATCTGAGATTTACCTTGTGAGAAATAAGAATTTGGCGGCTGTCCTTGCTCAGAGTATCAGAAATGTACAATTTATATGTCATCAAGTGTATGTCTGGGCATTACTCTGTCTATAACACATTTCTAAGTCTCAGTAATGCCAATCCATTTCCCTATTAAACCGTCGGCCTAAACTGCCCACGAGAAACTATGCCCATCCATGTAGAACTTCTCCCCTGTGGTCTCCTGGAACCCCTGCTCACTCCCCGTTGGGGAGAATGTACTAAACACTGAGATGGTACATGTGCTGAAGGAAGAGGTGGGGATAGTTCCCCGCTGGAGGGTTACTCCTTGACTAATGGAGCCAGTCTGAGTTCTCTCTCAGCCCCTGGCCTCCGAGCAGAGCGCTGCGGGGGAGGGGTGGGCACTGGCCCAGGGGCTGCTGGGAGTATGTGGCCTTTACTACCTTCAAGGGCCACGAGACGGTGTTTCTATCACCATCAACGACAGTAGAAATGGATGGCATTTGGGGGCATAAATAGGCACAGATCCTTAGTAGATTCTGTTCAGTACTATCTAATCTGGATTAAAATGTATGAGTATCCAGCATAGAACAATTGCAATTAATCATACATTCCCCTGGCAATTTCAATAGAAACAACAATCACTTAAAGCCTCCTCCTTTGTGTCCCCAGGGTCATCCCTGAGGCTCAAGTGCCGAACACGGAATAACTACAATTGTTTGATAAATATGTAAATGACAGAGGAAGGGCTCTTAATCCCTTTGGAGTGATTAGTTCTCCTATCAATTTTACTACGAAGACTAACCCTTTTTTTTTTTTACCCTGCATTTTTAGGCTCTTCCGAAATACTATGACAACTGCCCATTTTTCTTTTGGTTCCACACGTCTTTTATTCAAAATAACAGGTATGGCTTCTGATGAACTCAGGTGGAAGCGGCCTTACCTTCCACGTCTGTGTAAGGTGTAAGGGCACTTATTTTGCCGATTGCCGTAGGCTCAATTTACAGAAACCAAAAATGCTCAAGTCGCCATTATTCATTAGTGTACTCGTCTTATCCTGGTTATTTAAAAAATGTGGCTGTTCTTAGGATAATCTGCAAGGTCCCTGCCACAGGACTGCGTTGTGGGTTAAAACATGGTATGGTCAGATCTTGAGTGCGGTGATAAAGCGCTCTCATGGAAGCTCGAGTCTGCTCAGTACCTTAAACACCACAGCCCCTTCATATGGATTGGTTTTCTGATGACCGATCACCATCCAATCCTGTGCCAAAGTGAGGCGTCCCCTGGGAGGCTTCAGCTCAAAAGCTGATCGACACACTAGGGCAGGCGTGGCCAAGACATAGCATCAGTGAAGACGGCTAAATAAATCATGAGTAGTCTCCCATTTAAAAGTGATTTTGAATCTGAACTAAATTCAGAACCACTTTTAAAAAGGTAATTATTAACCGATTGGAAGATGATTTTTCCAAAGAACCTTTTACCGTGTGCAGAAACTCCTTCCTGACTCGAGTTCTCCACTTGGAGCATTTGTTCTGTGGTGCTGACAATTTGAGACTATTGGCATCCCCAGACCACCCAGCACGAAAGGAAAAACAATATTCAAAGAATCACTCGGGTGAGTTTTGAAGTGCTTGTGATTGCACGTGGCAGGAATTGACGATTTTCATTAAATAAAGTCTAGCCTGTTCTTCACACCTGAACTGCATCTAATCACACTTCACGTCCAGTAAGGGAACGATGAATCAAACATCTAACCTACACACTTAATGCATACACATTTCATAGATTTTGGTAGAGTGAACTTTGGATTGGGTGAAAATTTTTTACTGGTTTGGTTCTCTGGATGCATACAAACAGTAAACTTGAACTAATAGGAGCAAAGTCCCTCAAATAGACATCCGGGTGGAGCTTCCTTTGATGTACTCCTCAGAAGTGGTTCTTGCTAAAGCAAGGGCACAGTTTTTGTCCTTTCTTTAAAAGGCTCATATTCGTTCACATTGATGAGGCAACAAGTTAGATCACTTTCCTCCCCATTTTTACATGGTTTTAAAGATTTCTTCAACATTCAAATTTTCATACTACCTGGTAAAGCTGTTTTTATTACATATAGGACTGTTAATCAGCTGGAAATGCCAGCTTCATCATTTGAAAGGCACTCAGTATTTTGCCCTGGCTGGTGTCGCTCAGTTGGAGCATCGTCCCATAAATTGAAAGGTTGTGGGTTTGATTGCCTGTCAGGACACATACCTGGGTTGCAGGTTCAGTACTCAGTCGGGCATGTGGCATTCCTCTCTAACCTCAGTGTTTCTCTCCCTCTCCCTCCCTTTCCCTCTCTTACCATCAATAAGCATGTCCTTGGGTGAGGATAAAAAAAAGACAGTATTATATTACTGATGTTAATTCCCATGTAGTCTCTCTTGAGGATTTCTGTCACGTAGAGAAATTTACTTTATTAAGTCCAGATGTCATTAATCCCATAAAGGCAAGGTTAAAGGGATCGGTGATGGTTGTTACTGTGTGTTTGTTACTGAAGACTGAGATATTTTTCATCTCACAACCACAGCCAGCAAATCTGTTCTGAAGCTTGAACAGAGGTGCCCTTCTGAATGGCTTTTCTGTATGCCCTAAAATGTAACTTTCTTTTCCTATTCTAGGCTTTATCTTTCCAGGGATAAACTGGACAATCCCCATAAGCCAAAAATGTGGAAAATTTATCGTCCAGAGTTTGCAGTCGAAATATATTTTGATGCCATTGATCAAGTTGTAGCTGATCCCTGATTAAGTGTACTTCCCCTTCTAGGATAGAATCGAACTCTTCCCAGCCATATCTGTGTTTTCAAACCCTGTTTCCTCCCTGGTACAACAATATTTATATACATGTACATATGTTCTTGAAAAATCTATTAAATATATACTAAATATGGACAAGGGAATATGTCAATGGTGATTTTTTCCCTTTGTGAAGGAATATGCATCACACACGTGTTGAATTGAGGTAAATTTGGAACGTGGTCTACAGGAACATCGCTTCGCGCTTTTAAAAACTTGAATTAGAACTTTCATGTCAAGGTAACTGAGGTATTTAAGAATCGTGGTTCTCCCCTATATGAGTGGGATTACTGCATTTAGTTCTCCACTTTTGGACAAGATTTCGTCCTGCTTGGTGTCACATGATAACCTTGTGTTAGAAAGGCGGCTTCTATTTTCTTCCCCCCTTTGATTTACAAACGAACAAATACCAGATTGGCAGCGAAGACCGTCTGAAACCCACAGAAAAGCTGCCACACCAGGCCTGCATCTGCTTGTCTCCAGCTCCCCAAGCACCACACAGAGCTGAGCAAGCTCCCTTCGGTCACACACACGGACACACAGACGCTGGGGAGGGTGGAGGACAGTCACCATGGAGGATAAAGAACCTCCAGAAACTCCAACATCACAAATGGAGGCGAAGGAAATGTTTGTGGGGGGCAGAGGAGAGGAGGGAGGACTAGATTATTATCCCGTCCCCCCACAAACCAGCTTCACCTGAGCTTGGGGACCCCAAAGGAAGGTCACCTTTTCATTATAAGCACTGGTTAGTCCTGTGTCCTTTGGGAGTCCTTTTCTCTTTGGTACCTGGTGCTATTTTAGTCCAAGTGCCTTCACGGCCACGGGATCATAATGCCCTAATTGTCCCGAAGGATGGTTCTGGTTTGGCTTTATTGAAATGACCCTTCTTTGAGTGATTTTCCCTGTAATTTGGCAAGTTAAATTCATCAAGAAACAGGGAGCAGTGGATAAGAAACACAGTGCTTGTGTTAAAATGCTACACTCAGTCCTGAAAAACATTGCGATCTGCACAAAGAACACATTAAGGAAATGGTTTGCGGCGGGGAGATCGGGTTTGGGGGTTTGGGGCAGACCACTCCAACTAGGCAGTGTTGTAACCAGCACGCTACCCACTAGCCACACGATAACAGCTCAGAAGGCCTGCGGTTGCCACAGCAGGTATCTTTTAAAATATATTTTGTTGATTATGCTATCACAGTTGTCCCATTCCCCCCTTTACTCCCCTCCACCCTACACACCCCGTCCCACCTGCATTCCCCCTTTTAGTTCATGTCCATGGGTCGTACATGTAAATCCTTTGAGTGCTACATTTCTTATACTGTTCTTAACCTCCCCCTGTCTATTTGGTACCTACCATTCATGCTTCTTATTCCCTGTACCTCTTTGTCCCCCTCCCACTCCCCCACTGGTAACCCTCCATGTGACCTCCATTTCTTTGATTCTGTTCCTGTTCTAGTTGTTGGCTTAGGGTTTTTTTTAATGTAATATAAATTATGATGTGCCTTGCTGTGTTCCTCCTTGGGTCCAACTTCTTTGGGACTCTCTGAGCTTCTTGGATTTCCTGGAAGTCTATTTTCTTTGCCAGATTGGGGAAGTTCTCCATTATTTGTTCAAGCAAGTTTTCAGTTTATTGTGGTTCCTCTTCTCCTTCTGGTACCCCTATAATTTGGATGTTGGAATGTTTAAAGACATCCTGGAGGTTCCTAAGCCTCTTCTCATGTTTTTGAATTCTTGTTTCTCCATTCTGTTCTAGTTGAATGTTTCCTTCTTCCTTCTGCTCCAAACTGTTGATTTGAGCCCTGGTTTCCTTCCTGTCACTGTTGGTTCCCTGTAAATTTTTCTTTACTTCACATAATGCAACCTTTGCTGCCTGGGTCTTTTTTATGCTGTTGCAGTACCCAGAGAGTTCCTGGAGCATCCTGATGACGGGTGTTTTGAACTGTGCATTTGATAGGTTGGCTATCTCTCCATCGCTTACCTAAGTGATATTTTTGCTCAAGTTTTGATCTGTTCTTTCATTTGGGACTTTTTTTTTTGTCTCCACTCACCTGTTCTGTAGTGAGGGATGGAGCCTTAGGGATTCACCAGGGCGGGGCGACCCTCATTGCTGTGTTGTGACGCCATCTGTGGGGGAGGGTCTGAGAGGGAACAGTGCTGCTTGCTCCACTCTCTGCTTTCAGTCACTTCCCCCGCTTCCCCCAAGCAAATTGGGCCTTTCTGATGCTGATTCCTGGGTAGGTGGGTGGTTTGTGTACGTTCCAGGATCCTGTGGGTCTCTCCAACCAACTCTCCCCTGAGGCTGGGAGTTTCTCCTGCCGCCACCTCAACCCCCACAGGTGTTTTCAGTCAGAGGTTTGAGGCTTTATTTTCCTGCTGGGTCCCTGGGTTGTGGGTCTGTCTCGCTCCCCAGTTGTTCCTCCCGGTTTATCCACACGTAGATGTGGGACCCCCCCTCTGCCAGCCGTGTCTCGACGGGTCCTCTCCACCCAGCTGCCCGTCTCCGTCCCTCCCACTGGTCTGGGTGAGTGCATCTTGTTTACTCCTTGGTTGTCCGACTTCCATGCAGTTTGATTTTTTTTGTCAGTTCTGCTTGTCTCGTTTTAAAATTATTGTTGTCCTTCTTCTGGTTGTGCGAGGGGGCACAGTGTGTCTACCTACACCTCCGTCTTGGCTGGAAGTCCACAGCAGGTATTTTCTAAAGAAGGGGAGCATCTTGGGGCAACACTTTAACTGGAGAAGGGCTGGTGGGTTCCCAGGGGCACAGGGGGCAGTGGAACCCTGGGCTGCCCGAGCCGCCATCAGCGCCAACCCTGGCGGGTGGCCCAGGCACAGGTGCGCCCTTCTTTGTCCTCAAAATAGCCCACAAAGGGTCCCTGTTGCACTCCTTTCCACTCTCCCTAACCTGGCTCCCCGGAGGCAGGACCAGGGAGGACACACTCTCAGGTTCCTCCCACGTGACGGCCGCGTCAGTCCCTGTTCACTCGTGTTAGGGGAACACGGGTGTGGCCAGACAGGCTGTGCTGTGTCCTTTACGCTCACGCCACACCGACCCACAGAGTGCAGGTCAGCAGGCCGGCTGCGCTGGACAGAGAGAAAATGCTCCACCAACAGGAGGAGGAACTGCCCTTTTCAGTACTGGCGACCCCCGCTTTGTGAGAATATTGCTTTTTGATCTAAGGAGATGCAGCTGGGGTTTCTCTTGCCCAACCCTCCAAGATCCGTCCAAATTTCTGGCGGTGACTCGCCACACTCTCCTGCTTCCCCTCATGGAAAGAAAACCTGCTTAGGGCCTCCCGGGCGTTGCCTTGTTAGGACCCAACGTGATTCTTAGAGCACAAGGGACTTACATCAGAATGTATCGGGATGGTACTGGTTTTCTTAAAGAGGGTGGAATAGAATTATCTAAAATTTAACAGCAAGAAGTTTTAACTCTTTGAAAAAACAGAATGGCAGCCGGCCAAACCCGACACATCGCCTCCGCAGCCTGGTGCGAGGAGACAGAACTTCTAGCGAGCAGGGCGTCATAACTGCAGCGCATGCAAAGAACTCGTATACTCAGACATTAGGCAAATAATTTAATGATGTAGAATCAGAATTTCTCTAAACACAGCATTTCAAGTTACTCTATTTTTGTCTGGAGTACAGATCTGAAATGGTACAAATGAGACGCAAATACGGAACCATGAGTCACGGAGAATGACAAACGCTTCCCCCGACTGCCCTTGCCTCACTCCCACTCCTCTCCCCTGCCTCAGGGAAGACACTTCGTTAGCCCTTTACAGGCGGACACAGGAGGACAGTGCTGACACGGGCGACCATGGGCCCATGGCAGTTGGCTTCCTGCCGGAAGCCGGTCTCATTTCCTACGTCGCTTCATTTCTAGCCTGTTTGGATGAGGATCCACTTGGGCGTGTAGCCCATCCCCAAGCTCTGACATCTGTGGGCGTCAGAGATACGCGGGTTTCTGTTGTTGTGATAGTACACACACGGCACAGCTTACTCAGTTACTGTTCTTGTTTTGTTGCTTATGAAGTCACACGGCATCTACAGTCATCCTTACAACTCACTGACGGCCGGTACCGAGTGTGCGAGGCTCCACGCTGTGAGAAGCACGATGAAGGAGTTCCGGACCCGGAGGGAAACTTGAGTGGGTCAGCCCTGACGCGAGTCTCGGTGGCAGGCACGCACTATGTCAGGTCTGGTTCTGAGGGGAAGACTCCACCCACGAGCACTGCCACTCCATCACCAGACAGGGGACAAGGGCTTCTCCTGGCTTTGGCACTCTACCCCCTGGGTGGGTTTCCAATGGGTGGAGGCAATGAGTGAGGGATCCACAGGGCCCAACGGAATGCTCTGGAATCCCACCCAGGCCAGGACCCAGAGACAGAAGCCAAGGGCTGGTGTTGGCCACAAGGTCAACACAGAGCACAGCAGTGCGGCCACTGCACCCAGGCCTTCCCTTACCCTAGGGCCAGGCTGAGGAGAAGCTCTTTGGAGAGAAGGAAGCTGGTACAGGTGAAGGCCATGGGGCTTCTGAGGGCTTGATGCTCGGGCCAGAGCCCAAGGGTATGTCAGAGAGTCAAAGAGGACCCCACCCAGAAAGTGAACGGCACAGTTCTGCCGGCAGCGCCTCTTGGAAAAATCCAGGAGGCCCCTCTGAGACGTGAATCAGAAACATGGAAGCTGCGTCAGGATGCAGGTACAGTCACCTCTTTAAAATCTAGCTATTTGGTTTGCAAGCACCATAGGAACCCTTTTTAAAACTTTCACCACTTGGTATAGAGCAAGTATGTGTTACGCAGATTTGAAGAGAGACCCTACATCTAGAAGGGGTAATCACGGATAAACATCTTCACGAAACGCGGCTGCCTCTGGGTTTTTCTGGTGTGATCTGAGATTAAGCAGGAAACGAAATGGTGACTCGTTCGCAACACACAGCATCCAAACTGCGTGTGTGCGTCCAGTCGTGCAAAATCCCGGACAGAGCTGTACTTATCTTTTCAAGTTAGGTACAGAGGCCAGACTCACCCTGTAGGTCCTACCACGGACAAGAGCAGCAACTTTTCTATCGCAGTACAATTATGGGCAGAAATTAAATGGTGTAGAATAGAGGTCCTTCTGTACAGTTCAACATTTAGGGTAGAGGAATGGAAGGCAACAACAGAATGCTCTGAAATCAAAACAACTGCACGTGGGTCGTGTACTCCAGGCGGCCCTGAGATGAACTGCAGTCCTCCAACACCCGGCCTTGGGGCTGGGCCCACCAGGACGCTTCAGTCTGCTTCGAACTGGCTCATCATCAACTTCCTGCTGTACTCGTAGGCCAGGAACAGCGCCCCATTGGCCGGGAATGCTCGGATCATGGTGGGCTTCAGCCCAGAGTATAAGGCCAGTATTCCTAGGAGATAAAAGAGTGAGCCAACGCTGAGACCCCCTTCCTTAGAGATGCCCCCTCAAAACTGCAGAGCATGTTTTTACAGTTCCAAGTCCACGCAGTGGCATCAAAGACCAACACACAATGAAAGGGCTTGTGTCCACATTTCCCTGACTGACGGGATGAAACAGACCACAGGAAACTGGACAGTGTCAGGTCTCTGAGCAAAGCTGGTTCATGCTCAGTGAACACGCACCCATCACGGCTTCTCCCACGAGGCACAGGGCCAGTGGGGAGAGCGCACTGAAGTCAGAGACTGATTCTAGTGCCAGCGTTGCCCGGGTGGTTATGACGCTCCAATCAGGTAACAGAGGTGGAAGAGCTCCGTAAAACTACACACGAAGCGTAAATTTAAAGAAGGGTCACTACAGCATTAGTGATGTGCAAGGTGTCTGTGCTCTCTGTGGGGCACAGATGGAACAGTTGCTGCGCGCTCTTACTACGCGCTCTCCTTCAAAACCAAGACAGACGCCTTCACAGCTCTCTACTCACTAGCAGCATAAAACTGACTCATATGAATAGTAAGTAGGAAATCTTCGTCCTCCCACCTAAGTCCAAAAACTGATAGGAAGTCAACTTCAGAAGTTGCTTAGCGCAGTTTTAACTCCAGCAGTCTCAGGACTGAGGGGGCTGCACATTCCTTTAAACCCCCTCAGTGGTTCACTGGTGGTCCCCTCCAAAAAGACCCTTGTGACATAAAACAAGTGCTAACTTCCAAACCTCTGTCCCCTTAAACAAAACCTGGATTTTCTGAAGTCCCTCCAGGCTCTTTAGAACAGAGTCTTCACGGGTACCTGGCCCAGGGGTTAGGAATAGGAACTTCAAACATTCTCAAGAATGGTAAGAGCAAGCTAAAGAAAGGGGTTGGAAACCAGTCCTCGGGTGGTGCCAGAAGAGCCAGAGACAGAGCCTGGGGGCAGCGCTCCTCTCTGCCAGGGTGGCAGCAACACGACCCATTGCTGCGTACAAATGCACTTGGTGCTGGCGGCAGACTTACCTTCATTCTTCACGATGCTTATGCAGGTTCCAATAAATCCGCCCTGTTTTCCAGACATGGACAGAACTTGAATTCTAGACTTAATACAATCCACTGGGTAAACAGCAAGCCAGAGGCAGATGCCACCAACTCCACCACTCAACATCAGAGGGACAGGACCTGAGAAGAACGTCGGCAAAGGGCTGGTGAGACAGTGCTGCGGTCGAGGTAGCGGCTGCCGCCAGGTGCAGGTAAAAAGGCGAACACCGGGGAGCAGTCCTCTGAGGCGCGCGTCAGAGCCCCAAGAGCACACGCTCCATGTGGTGCGGGGCGCTGGTCGGCCCCGCATCTTGTCAGGACGGGAAGCGCTAGGGAGGGTCGAGTATGGGCTGGTCACTGTGGCACCGTGGCCCTGTGGCCTCTAAGGAGTAGCAATGCCCTCCCAGGAGGAATGGCACTAAGACCACTGGAACACAGGTCTTTCTTCCACGTTCTCACTCGGAAGTAGTTTAATATTTTAAAGCCCGGCAGCCCCGACTCTTCCTTTACCAGGAAAAACCCACGTTGTCTCATTAAACACACAGTTAAGCCTGGGAGCTTCACTAACCCCAGAACAGGTGGAGGAAAAAGTGACCCCCGCGTGCGTGCCCGGCCTCGTTCGTTGTGTCCAGCAGAGAAACAGAACAATGCTGGAGAGTCTATAAAAGTCCATTGCTCTCAAAACACTAGCAAGCTTTATTACCACGTTTTAAATTTATTGCAAGATGACTTATAGATGATGTACCCATTATGGCTGCTTTCCCACAGGGAAAGGAATTTCTGTATTTCCTCCCCCCTAAAATGGAGCCCGAATAAATTAACAGATGTTATTCCAGTGCAGAAGTTCGGGACACAGGGGCTTCAGCCCATCATGAGACAACCACCAAGCCCAGGGCCACCCAGCCAGTGCCAGCGCCACCCAGAGGAAGGCACCTGCAATTGCCGCGTTGCTTCCCAGTGTCCGGAAACTCCAGCGCCAGGGGGATGCACAGAACCGGAACCCCAGCCACCACACCATGGGATGGGAGCACCACATTACCTAGCTCATCTTTTGATCTCCCTGACGCAAAAAACGATCGGCTCAGCTCGTAGCCTCCGAAGAATAAGAAATAGCCTGGTACTTCTCGGAGTAAAGTGCTGGAGAGTCCGTGGTAGAAGCCCAAGGGGCCATCCTTCCTGAGGATGCTCTTCACGACAGACCAGACTGTGCTGGGAGGGACAGAGGGAGACTGCTGAAGACAGCGAGGTGCCCGGGCACCCGCCGGCGAGCAGACCCAGCTGCGGGGAGGACGCAGCTGACTCCATGAAACAGAGGATGCAGGGAAAGAAAGGCTTCTGGGGGAAGGATGTATCCAGAGAAGCACAGATACAAGTATTTTGTAACAAGTCGTATCACCTGAACTATGCTGTAGGAGAGAAATTCTGTTAAAATGGTTAACACATTTTTAGAAGTCCTATTATCAACCACATAAAAGAGCTAATATCTGTTTTTTCGACAGTGAATGAGTTCAATTACAACAAAAAGTATCCAAATACAGCAAAAATAAATGGTATTCCATTGGCCTAGCCCCTTACGTAGCAAATGCTCAAAAGGTAATGGGGAAAAGGGTCTCAGGAGGAGAGTGATTTGGTCCTGGAAAAGAACTATGCTTATTAGGAAGGTGTCCACGGGTTTTCAGAACTTGGGCCCTGAAGGACGGGGAGTGGGGGTGGGGGTGGGGGTGGGGTGGTTAAATGAAGTTACCGCTGGGACCCAGGCTGATCAGCCAGAATACCTATGCGAATCCCGGGATTCGCATCAAAGAGTCATCTCCGGGTACAAATTAGCCCGCGTCAAGGCTCAGCGCTCGGTCCCAAAGCTGCCAGCCATGCGCCTCCCACCACGGCTGGGGTCCTGCCTTATCCGTTTAGGCCAAAGGGTATAACTTCTCCACTTCGGGGGTGTCACACGTCTGTCTGTTGGGTGGGGTGGTGGGTTCAACATGTTCAGAAAACTATCCTCCAACGGGTGGGGAAATGTTTTGGAAACACCACGGGTTGCAGGAGATACATCTGCTTTACTATGTACTACTTAACTTTAGTACAATATAAAATCACAAAACACTCAACATGCTAAAGCAGCAAGACCCACTGCCGGTGCCCGGGGACGCTTACTTCTGGCTGCTGGCAATCTTCCCCGACGTCTCCATCTCGTACATGGTCTGCAGCCGGCACTTCACCAGCTCAGTGGGGCAGAGCACCAGCGCGGCGAACGCGGAGGCGAAGGAACCGGCGGCCGCGTTCTGCAGGTCGCTGAAAGGACACAGCACGGGAGCGCGGGGATGAAAGGAGAGAAGCACTGTGCCACCCGAGGACCCCACAACCCTGCGAGGTTGACAGCGACACACCAGTTTCCACGTGGGGGAAGTCACGTGCCTGAAGTCACACTGCTGCCAAGTGGCAGCGCCAGGACTCACGCCCGGGGCTGCCAGACTGTAAAACCCACACTCTTTATGGGTCACAGGGCTGTGGACTGAATGTGTGTGCCCCCCAACCCCAAAGCCCTATGTCGAAGCCTTAGCCCCACTGTGATGGCGTGTGAGGGGGGCTTTCGGGAGGTAATTCGGGTTAGATGAGGTCGGAGGGTGGAGGCCTCCGGCGGGATCAGGACCCCTCACAACACAGACCAGAGAGCAGCTGGCTCACGCCCTCCCTCTGCAAGCCAGGAAGGAGGCCCTCCCCACACACCATACCAGCCCCTTGGACTTTGCAGCCTCCCGATGTGTGAGGGACAAATGTCTGCTGTTTCGGCCAGCAAGTCAGTGGCTCTTGGTTACGGCAGCCAGAACTCAGACCCACAGGGACGCACAGAACACGACACAGAGAAGAGCGAAACAGCCCCCGAGTCCCACCGCCCTAACACGCACACTCTGAGCACTGAGGACTTCGGTGCACCTGCCACCAAGCTCTAAGTGAAACTTGGTTCTGAGGCCAAGATCCAACCTGGGCAGACACAGACTGTAACTGCCCCAGATGAAAATCCAGGGTAACTTTTTAACCAAAAAGGTGCTTGTTCCAAAAAGATTCCAAGTTCGGCTGATGACCTCCTGACCTCAGCAACACAGTGGGGAGCCGGAGTGAGTCAGCAAGCCCAGGCAAAACAGTGAAGCTGGATGTGTGTGCAAACGGAGGTGTGGACACACACGCACAAAAACAGAAGGGTTCACCTCCTCTGCCTGCATCCGTCAGCACCGCCAGCCAGTCTCCCGTGGATTGTGACCAGGAATCCAACAGAGTTCAAGACTGGGGGGGGTAGTCTAAAGAACAAACTGTGGGGAGACGTCTCTGAGAGCTTGTGGGGTCAGAAAAGACGACCCTTTCTGCCCTGAGACAGTGCTTCTTCATGACGGCACCCCTGGCATGGGGGGCAAACAACCCTTGAGGCGGGGGCAGGGAGGACAGAGCTGCCTGCCCCCAGCAGGACCTCGGTCGGCTCTGTGACACTCCCCTGTTAAATGCTGGCACCCTGCCACGGCTGGACCAGCGGCAGTCTCGGACTTCCAAAGGCCCCGGGGGGAGAACGCTCGGCGTACTGTTCCAGGTACAGGGACGCCCTTAACATGCTTCCGCAGACCACGAGCAGAAGCTTAGCATGCCTACCACACTCTGGTGTCCTAAATCACGAGAAACTAATAGTTACATAAACTGTGGCCAAACCTCGTGTCAAACAAGGGCCACCTCCCGTCCTGGCCCTGATATCCTGTCCCCTGGGGGCCTGGCCTTGGTGCTGCGGCTGGATACACGGCAGGTGTCAGGTCTCGGAAGGTGGCCTCGAAGCAGCCCTCTCTCAGGAGGAAGACACTGCCTGTGGCCTGGCCTTCCTTCCGCCGTAGAGAGCGGGACGTGAGACCGTCTCCAGAGCACAGCCAGGTGCACGGCTGTGCTAGGACTCAGCCCTCCGGGGGTGGAAACTGCCCCCACTCATGCCACCCCTCCCCATGCCACTCCTGCTTCCCCCGGTTGGCAAAACCAAAGCCTAAAATGATCTCTGCCATCTTTCACCAGCCCAAGGACCCTCGCTTGAGTGCCCTGGGGTCCCTGTGTCGGCTGACGAGCAGTAGCCAATTGGGGTCATTAACTTGTTTCCCAAGTTTGCAGGAACAAGGGGGCATCCGTCAGTGGAGCCGCCCATCCCATCTCAGATGCAGGTGTGGCCCGGGCGCCTGCAAAATGCAGGGCCAGATCGGATCTGCAGCGGACGTCCACTTTCTATGGAGCACTCTCATCTCCCGGGGCACTGAGGGGGGTCCGCGGGCCCCAGCTTGCGCCCAAGTGTAAGCGTTTAGAGCTGGAATTGAAATGGCAACAGGTGTAGGGTGGGATTTTGTGAGAATCGACTGTTTGTCGCCGGTTCAGCAAACATGTACTGGAACAGTCCTGCCGAGTAAGGTCAAGCACCCTGTCTGGTCAAAGGTCAAAGGAGAGAACAGCCCTGGCAGCAGCACCCGCATCGAGAGCTGACCAGAGTTCACAGGGCTACTGCGGACGTCCCCAACAGGTCCTCACTCTCGCCTTCCCCTGCTCTGCTCACTAATCTGTCCCCTGGGCCTGACCCCCACAGGGCACCCCCAAGCCCCAACTGTGGTCTTAGGGAGAGACTGACTGATGGGGGGGCAGGGAAGTTTGGAGGCCGTGGGCTGGAGCCCCGGCTTTCTGGGTCCTCGCCCCATGGTCCTGAGCCCACTTCCTGTCTTGCCGTGCGGTCCTGAGTGCACGGCAGTGTCTGCCCTGCACGTCCCCGTCCGTGGGGCGCACCACCCATCTTGTTCCCTTCCTGGCCACGGTGAGCGCCGAATGGCACCACACATCTGTCAGCGCTCTGGAGATGCCAAGGCGGCATTTTCCCAACAGGGGACAAACCAGCTCTGTCACCCCTGCAAGGTGACAAAGAAGACTCTAAGTCCAAAACAGCACCGAGGGCTGGTTTGGGCCAAGGGTGACAGGAGGTGCCTCTACTGCAGAGCTGCTCCAGAGTCTCTGTGGCCTCCCCGCAGGGCCCGTGTCTCCCTGAGTGGGAGGAGCTACAGTCGCGAAGGGCTCTTCCCGTCAATCTGGTGCGGCTTCTGCCTCTTTCCTCACCTCCTCTCTTCTTCCCGACCCCTGTGCTGCACGGCCCCCCACCAACAGTCTCCCCAAGGGGCTCACCCACCCCGAGCTTTTGGAGAACAGGTTCTGTCCATCACGACAGGACTCCCACCTGTAAACTTGGCCATCTGCAGACCCCCACGCACCTCTGAGAGAACATTTCTGTAGCAAAGGAACCTGCCTCAGTCACGTGGGTCCTGCAGTTGCAATGGGACTTCAAATTCCTCCCCAAACTGCCAGGACGCCTGCCCTTTGCAACCACGAGGCTAGTATCATGGTTTGAGTTATTTCAAACACATCAGTGTTCGAAGGAGGCACAGTGCAGTGTCCCGGAGGGTTCTGAATTCTTTTCAGCGTCCATCTAATTTAGTGATCAGCAGTGCCAAGACACAAGCCAGAGCCCAATGTTTGGGGCAGACTTGGCCACAGAAGCTTCACCTGTATCTTCTCTGATGCTTCTGAGCCTTCCTACAAGTCTGCGTTTCTCCTCAGACCTATCTGGGTCAGGAAACCTCTTTCAAGACCCTCCATTTGGCCGATAAAGTAGAACCTACAGCTCAGGCCACACGTGGCACCGTGGCTTTTGTCCAGCACTTCCGCCCACAGAGAAGTGGCTGCTCCACCCGTGTCTGAAAAGCGCTCTCCCACAGCATGCTGACCCCCAGGGGGGGCTCCTGCTCCACAGGGGGCCCACCCTCCTTCAACTGGAGGTGAACATGCATCCTGATCCAGCCACAAGGTATTCATCATCATCATCATCATCATCAGAAAGGGGTTCTTTTTAAGAAAGGAAACACTCTTCTCTACAACGGATCACGTGGCTTTCGTAACAAATGGAACAAGTGCCAGTGTCCCCAACTCACCTGAGCTTGGCCTGCTTGTCCAGGCCCGCCACCTTCCGCACCGCCTGCTGGCAGAAGCCGTAGCACAGGAAGAGGACCGAGTTCTCGGCGATGTTGGCGATGAGCGCGGGGCCGGTCCCCTTGTAGAAGCCCCGGAAGCCCACCTGGGAGTAGGTCTTCAGGCAGCAGTCAGTGAGGCCCCTGTACAGGTCGGGGAAGGTCTGCATCTTCACCTTCATGGTGTCGAAGGGCTGCCCGGTCAGCACACACGCCGTGCCCCCTGCAAATGGGACGGGAGTCTTCTGTAGTGTGTGTCTGCGACCCCTTTAGGGCGCCACTCGATGCCCCATGGAAACGGGGGCCCAGGGGCCTGCCCCAGCACAGAGGCTCTACTTCAGCTCATTCTCACCTCTCACCCCCTCCAACCTGCTAACCCACCCAGTAAACAACCCGGGTGCCTGGCTCTCGGCTCCAGCCCCGAAGGAGCCACATGGTAGAGGGATGTGTGTGTGTTCCACAGGCAAGGCCACCGGATATAAAGCGGTGGCCTGTGGTCAGCAGCACTAGCAAGGGGATCGAAGGGGTTGGGGCTTGAAGCCTGGCTCCGCTGTGAGGTCCTCAACACGGGATGGAACTTTCCAGCCTCGGCTCCTAGTCGGGGGTCGTGCAAGGGTCGAATATAACAATGGAGAAGAAGGCTTAACACAGGGGCTGCCAAAGAGGTTCCTGCCTGAGCTGCTATCAAAGGACCGGGAGGGAAGTCGGGGCAGAGTCCATCCTTTGTCTTTGCCTAATGCCTCCTGGTGATGATGACTATCGGGATGATAACTGGCAACAGATAAAGAAAACGGAGGGGCTGATTAACCCCCAGGAGTTAAATAGCTAACCGTACAGAAAGCCTCTCTTCAGACTCTGCCAATATGTAATTTGTAAACAGATAGGGAGTGAACCGAAACGTGTCTTTGTTTAGCAAAAACCACATATTTACTTACTTTTACACTGTAAAAGTACTAAATACAGCAAATCTAAATTGCATTAGAGGACTTCAAGAGAAATTCTGCACATAAGGAAAAGACGACCTGAAATGACCGTATTCTATCCCCAGATGCTGGGCGGGGTCTGCCTTTTGGGGGCTGCCACTGGCTGATGTTTCCACCTCCCCTTGGGCCTGCAAGGCCACTGCGTCTTGCCTGTCCCCTGGCTGTGCCAGGAACCGTAACCACTGGAGAAGGTTACGAAAGCCCAGTCCAAACCGAAGAGAAGGGTTATGTGACACATTTAGGAAACAAATGCAGAGGCACAGACACAGTGTGAAGGGTTACTAGGGAAATGCGGCGGAGGCTGGCGAGGGTGAAGGACGTCAGACAGGCGGCGATGGCAGGAGGCCAGACTACGGGCGGTGAGCGCACAAGGCAACATGCGGATGGTGTCTGCAGAATCACACACCTGAAACCTCTATGATGTTATTAGCCAAGGTCATCCCAGCACGTTTCTTAAAAACTTAAGAAATACAACTTCGTAACTTCAACTTTGTACATAGTGACTCCAACTCGGTTGTGGAAGGCAGAGATGGGGGAGGGGCTGCTAGGAATAATTCCCAATGAATTATTAGCAAAGGAACGGGCGTTTTTAAAGAGTCTGAGCTGTTTGATCTCTTCTTTGAAGCAATCACAAGTATGAGCTTTGTGATCTTCCCGCTACTGTTTGTTTCTTGTAGGAGAGTGCTAATATACGTCTGCTTTGTCTTATCAAATTATCCCCAATTCTGAATTGGTGGAATATGGTTTACTAACACATTGCTGTCATTAGAATTATTCTCCCCCGGGTACTGGTGGGCCAGAATAAAATACTACTCTATCCCTGTCAAAATACTTAAATTATTCCAAAAGAGGAGGTGAAGGTCAGAATTTTAAAAATTGGTATGTAATTTAGATAACTTAGATACAGATACACCGAATAAAGCATTTAATTTGGAGCATTACTATTTCAACTGGAAGATTTCCCTATTTCAACACAACCAACCCGAATGGTTCAGACATGGCAGGTGACTATGATACGCGTTTGTTGTCTATCTGTAAGAGTTGCATTTCTAACACGAAGGAGGTAGGAGGCTAATGAATTTTCAGATGCTGGCTATGATTCCTTCCCTCCCGGGAGGTAAGCCAACTTCACAGGTAACTGACCACACACAAAGGACACTGCCCAGGCTCCAAGGGGTGACGACTATTCTGAACCACAGCACCAACCCCCAGGAGCCAGCAGGACCTCAGGCGCCTACCAGTTAAGGAAGCTATGAGTCATTTACAGGAATTAACTATTTCTCCACTTGCTTGGAGCTCAGACCTCTGATCGCCTCATGTCCCTACCCATGTGGAAACAGCCTCTGCCTTCTCTCAAGCAGTCAGGACTGGCCCTGCATTTGACTCTGCCGGACCGGCACTCAAACCGGGTTGTACTCTTCACCTCACCGGGCTCGCTGCTGTGGATTTTCCGTCCTTGGTGTAGCCGCGTCAGCAAAAGACAAGGGGCTCAGGAAATCTACCGGGCATGGACGGTATCAGCTCACAGGGCGGGCAGAGCTGAAAACCGGGAAGCCAACCCTCATCCAGAATTACCTGGTGCACCGGCACAGAGGGGAGAAGCTCAGCCCCTCTGGAGGCCATGGATAAACGTTCGGCCGAGCCACACAGAGAGCCGCATCCTTTTCAGAGCACTCCCCCCGGAGCAGGCTTTCGCTTGTTCTTCACAGTGGCATTGGAGACACTTCAACGATCTCAAATGCCATGATCCCCGACAGTGCTGGTTAAACACTGTGGCGGAGCAGCCACAGTGGGATAGTGCATTTTATCCGTCTTGACCGACAGCAGGGCTACCACGGGCTTCCACTTAGTGTGGTTGAACCTCTGAGATGCAGGCCGCCTCAGTCCGGTCATGGTCCAGTTACCCATCTTCTCCAGCCCTTGCCCTATCCTCGCTGCCTGGGGCTCCCCAGCCTCTCCCAGACTCTCCCCTACAGTAGCTGCAGACTCACGGTGATGGCTTCCTGGTAGACAACCAGGACTGAAAATCTCCTTGGTGGAGAGGTTTGCTTAAAAGAAAAAGCAGAGACACAGAAGAACCCGTGGATCTTGCACCCACACCACCTCAGGCCTCAAGTGGTCCATACGAACCCTGTCCTTGGGTGGGCTGTGTCCCCAAAACCCTCGGGGCCCCCTGCTCCAGGCCAGCAGAAAAATCCCAATGCCTGACTGCTTCCCCTTGTAGAGACCTGGGGCAGAAAAGGCTCCAGATTAAGCCCCCTCCGGGGCTGCTGTCGGCCCCTTGAATTGTAGTAAAACCAAAAGGACGACAGAGCGAGTCAAGGGACGCAGCAGCCGGGTCTCGGCCTGGTGTTTGCCCCATCAAGCTGTGCGAACCTGAGCAAATCCCCCTGGAACTCTTTTCCTCTCGTGTTCTCTGCAGGCCCTTCCAGCTCATCGTGGGAGGACTGAGACCCCTCCCGGGGGGGACGGCCGCTCCACCAGGAACTCCTCTGCTCAGGGCCCGAGGGTCCCTCCACGCAGAGCACAGACCCCTCGCCGAGGAGCCGGTGTTTTTGGAGGTCGGGCCACCGGGGCAGTGCTGCCGCTGAGCAGGGTGAGCCTGTGTCTTCCGGGCAGGAGACAGGTACCAGGAAAAGTCCATGTCAGCTTGGACGAGAGCCCTGTACGTGTTCACAGTACTGCAAACGGCAAGCCTTCAGCACAGGAGGCCCAACAGCACCGCTGCAATCTACAGCCTGAAGATGCACTGTAACTTACACCTGTGGGGCGCAGACGCCTCCCTGGGAAAAGATGAGCTTTCCAACTCTATCACAGCAGGCCTGACATCTCTGATAGACTGAAGGGCATTTAATCCCACAGGCTGAGAACCTCTCATGCAGTGAAATATCCGCAGACTGCAAGACCGAATGGTCCCGTTCGTTCGAGGCAGGCAGTGAGGTGGGGGGCGGGGCCTGAGGGGCTGCAGCTGGATTCCACAGCAGAGTGAGGGGCCGGCATACAGCCGGCAAAGGCTGTGGGGCGGAAACCAGGACCCCTTTGTTTGCCCTGCTCCTTGGGTGGGATGTGCCTGTGGTCTCTGACTGGGAGCTGGCGCCTGAGCCCTGCACTCCTGATAAGCCTCGGCAATGTTCTATCTCTAGCCTTCTGAGTTAGCTCACCTTGGCCGACCTTCAGTTCATGGGGAAATACACTTTTTTTTCCCTCTGAACTCCAATTTCTTTTTTACAATGAAGCAAATGACAAGATGAGAGTAAGTGACTGTCTGAATGCACTTGCTCTGTTGAGCCACAAGGTCCCACCGCCTAAGAGGGCAGTGGGGAGCCCACCCCTGTGGCCTCTCCACCCACCGGAGCTACAACCCATGATAAGAATTGGTGTGGGGTGCAGGGCAAACCAAGGTCTTCATCCCAGAAGTCTGAGCATTCAAGTGCCCCTCAGCCCTGATGGGACACAGGGATCTGGAGAATGAGTTACCAGCCACCCACTTCCTGTGCTGCCCTTTGCGTCAGGCTGAGCAAAGGTCATCTTTCCCAAGAGTGGCTTGGCTGTCACCAGCCGTGACCGGGAGCACTTACTTGTGCTCTGTGGGGCCAAAGTCTGGGCTGGGGCCAGAGCCTGGGCCACCATTCCTTGGCAAACCCTAGGGCCTCACATTAATGACCTTCCAGGGTATTAAGATCCAGTGAATGGCAGACTCATTTACCAAAGACATTTCTAAAGGGGGTCCTCCTTTCTTTCCCTGACAGTAGTAAGGATAGTACCAGGATTCCCTGGAGAGATGACATGGTGTTATTTTTACACAATGAGAGCTCTGAAGACTTGCCAGACTTGGAGGGGAACCCGTCACCTGCATGTCCCAGCCATGTGACACCAGGTGACACAGGACAAGGGACCTCTGTTCTGAGGTGCGATGTTTCCCAGTTGTGAACTGGGGAGCTCCCCACCCTGCACCCCGAGCACACAGTTCTGCTGCGTTGGGAACGACGCTACCTTGCGCCCGGCGTGGAACTCCGTATTACACCTCGGTTCCCGAGCCTCGTTCTAAGTTAGGGCATGTTGACTTGGGGGTAATATCTGCACCACGCTTCGCTACGTCTCACGTGTGGAGAGCACTTGAGGCAGAGCGGATGGAGTTTTCTCTGGGATTACCTGCGGCCCCTGCGGTGAGGTCGATGGTTGCTTGGATGGCAGGGTTGGACTTCATGTTTGCCCCCTCCTCTGCTGGGCTCCGTCGCAGGCAACTCCCTGAAGCTTATGACAGCCACCTCATGTCCCTGGGTGGAGGCAAGAGTTCACCATCAGAGAGGCCTCTGCAGCCTCCCTGTCTCCCGGCCTGATGCCTGGATACTAGACCCGAATTTGGGGGGCTGAGACATCAGCTTCACAAGGCTCCAAAGGGGGCGGGCTCAAGATGCCAGAGCGGCTCCTGATTGGCCTGTCTCTTTACCCCTCCCACCACCTCCTCACCAACAGTGCGCAGATCAAAAACCTTCCTTGAGTATCAATGCTACAGCCACTGGTGTGAGGCACTTCATTCCAACCATCCCCAAACCCTTGGAAACAAACGCCAGAGGAGTGAGCCAGCCACAGACGTCCTAAGCCACATCCCACGAGCCTTCCAGGGGCCCGAGTGGGACCATCACTCCAGCAGGCTCAGCTCTAAACGCAGGCAGGGCCAGTGCTGGGTCCGCTAGAGAAAGCCACAAAACAGATGGTGTGGAAAAAACCGGGAGGCCACCAGTAGCACAGGCCTGGGTCGGAGTGCCTGCCATCTCTGCCACCAGCAGGGTGGCCCCGTGGGCCCCCAGAGCTGGGAGTCAGCATCTATACAATGGCAAATAATGAAAGCATTATCGTTGTAATACCAGGGCAATCACAAATAGCCCTGGGGGACAGATGTGATAGTGAACGGTGACCATCACAAGTTCTCAGTAGAACAACTGCAAAGCACAGCACCAAACACACCGGTTGTGGTCATCACAGTCCGCCCCCCCCCCCCCAGCTTCTCCGCCATCAGGTGCACAAGATGCACCTGGGGACCTTGTTGAAGGGCAGTCTGACTGACAGGCTCTGGTGGCAACAGAAATGCTGCCGGTCTTCACAAGCTGATGAAGCCTGATCTTTGGGAAGCAGCTCCTGCCCCACTGCGGCCCAGATTTGCTTGGTAAGAACCACCTGGGGCACCTGTTACATGTCTAAATAATTAGGCCCCTCTCCTGGAAACCCTGATTCAGTGCAAATACCAGAGCCTACTCCTCTGCCTTTGGTCAAAGATCAACGACTGCTGAGGCATGGACTTCACAGAGACTACAGAAAGGAAGGGTGGCTCATTAACATGGAACACAGGCGGCAAACACAAGGGCCATGGGCCGGATCCGGCCTCCACCTTGTTTTATACGGCCCAGCACCTTGTTTCTACTCGAGGGGCAGCACCAAGCTCTCGCTCAACTCTAAGGAGTGGTTACATTTATACAGTCCTAAAATGACATTTGGCCCTTTGGAGGCAACCACGAGGCTGCTGTGGCCCCCGGTGACAATGAGCTTGGCACCCCTGACATACAATATTAAAGTAAACAGTCCACCAACCAATTCTGTATGGTCTCTAAACTACGTGAGTGACTTATCTGTGACCACGAGGGACAGTTTCTATTCCTCGTCACACTGAAGACCCACGTGAGCCTTTCAGGAAGGGTGGGTGGGCAGAACGCCACCCTGGGATGAACACTAATGTCTCCCAAACGTCAGCAGAAAATTGCTTTAGCTGCCAAACATTTTTTAACCACCTGAAGAAGGTTGCCAATGACCAGACACCAAGAATCTTTCTTTAAAAAAAATTTAAACCAAAACCATCCAAAACACAGCACTTGAGTACTTAAAGCCACCAAATTCAAAACCCAAGACAAGGATTTCGCGTTGTGGACAGGACGGGGATGGCAGTGCCAGGGGCTGTGCCGCGAGCTGGCGGCCGTCCGGGATCTGGAGATGGGTAAGGAGGTCCTGATCTACTGTCCCCTTTTTCCAGGTGCAAAAATTGAGGCCAGATGAAGATGGACGGTGGCCGTGCCTCACAGAGGGGACGCACGGACAGGACACAGCCGGTGTGGCCTCTCAGTGCCTTCATGCCTTCGGAAACGGGCATTTCTTTCTCAGCAGGGCGCAGCCGATCCTACCATGCCATCGGGGTGAACCCAACCCCTTTAGGTAAGCCGAACTTACACACGTCAGATCCTACAAAGTACTTGTAGAATTATTAGGGCAGTCGACAGTGATGGGAACTACCACACTAACTCATAAAGTTTGGGGTATTGATTCAAATAACGCGCAGCTCTGGATTGAGGGAGACAACTGGCCTGGGGGATTCATCAGCCTTCAGTACAGCCTCGAGTATAAAAACCGAGCCCTTTCAGCCTCCCTTTGCCCCCCTTTAAAACAACACCAGGGTCCACTTCAGGAGAAGGAACAGCGCGGACCACAGAGCTCAGTGGTTCCCTAGGGAAATGAATTTCTCCGAAGGGAGAATCCGGGGAGGCCGCGTTCCACAGCAAGGTTCCACCTCCAGGGGAAACCTGGCCCTGCACACGGCCGCCTTTCAGCAGCGGCTGGAGCTGGGGCACAAGGGTGCTGGGACGCACACCGGCCGCGCTACTAAGCGGCCAACGTGGCGCTCCAGTCCGCGAGCCTCGGCATCCTCGTCCGCACCAGGGGCAGCTTAAGGACACGACTTCCAACTTTGCCGGGCTCTGAACGCCCGCGAGCTCTGCCCAGCAACCCGCCAGGGTGTCCCATTCATCAGCGCCTCGGTCCGCCCCAGTGATCGGGCACAGAGGGCGCGGAGCCCCGAGGACACATGATAGGACCTGGGGCAAAGGAGGGCAACGCCGGCCAGCAGGTGACCCCTGCGGGGGAGGGGGCCGCGCACCGCGACAGAGTGTCCGCCGAACCCGGGGGCAGCACGCGGGAGGGGGGCACCGCGCGTCCCCGGGCACGTGTGCTGTGCACTGTCCGCCTCCCTGGCAGCCCCGGAAGGTCGCCCGCCCCCGGCGCCCCTGCTGCCCACCCGCGCCCACGCGCGCCAGGCCCGGGCTGCGCTCACCGCCACCCGTCCGCGTCCTGCTCAGGCTCCGGCCTCCCGAAGTCGCCCGGGCCTTGGGGACGGGGGTGGCCGCTCCACCCCCACGTGGGCCGCAGGCCGGCCTCCACCCCGCCCCCCCCCCCCCGAGGGACAGCCCCGGGGCGGGCGGCCCGCTGGGCTTGGAGCGGCGGGCGGGGGGGCGGAGCCTGCCCGGGAAGCGGAAGCGGGCGCGGTGGGCGGTGCTCGGGCGCACAGGCCGCGGGGCGGACGGGCACCGGGCGCTCGGGGTTCACGGCAGTCCCCGGGGTTCCCGGGCCCTCCGGGAGGCTCCGCTGCAGGAGACCGGAGGGCCAGGGCTGGCGTCCGGGCCCAGAGGACCGACAGAAGGGAGTCCTCAGGCCGGTTCACCTTGCTGGGACTCGGGGCGCCCGGGCTTCATTTAAGTTAAGAATCGAGTGCGCAGGTACTGGAAAGAGAGTGATGAAAAGAAATTCGCTATTGCCAGTAAAAAAAAAAAAATAATAATAATAATTAAAAAGACTCCCAACCAGTGCCCATTCTGCCTTGCCCAAGGAAACCCTTTTCCACTGATGAAAACGGTAACCCCGAGTCAGCCTCTCTGATCTTTCAGGACTTTTCAGTGGCTCTCTGGAAGTTCACGAAAAAGCGCGACTGAAGGAGTCTGTGGTGCCCTCGGAGTAAAGCGGTTTTCTCTAGGGCCTTAGGATACAGCCAACACCTCCTCACTGTCCTGTAACACGGAGTCACCGCCTCGACTGCTTTGGTTCTGGCTTCGTTCCTACTTAGGGTTTTCTTCCTTAAAACACGGCATCATTCCCTTTGACAACTTTCCGCCGTGTGTGTGTGTGTGTGTGTGTGTGTGTGTGTGTGTGTGTGATGTTGGACTATTGCTGATGTAATAAAATGATGTTTGGTGCCGGGCAGTGACTTAAATACTTGACCAGCACAACTGAATGGCGCCCTCGTGAGAAACGGGGCCTCACATCAAAAAGGCCTAAGACTGTCGTCCGGAGACCAGCACTGGAGAACCCAAGCTTCTGGAACAACATGTAATCACAGAAACGAGCCAGGGAGTTGCGAGGACTTGCCAGACGCCACATTTAACACAACTATGGGGTGGGGGGCAGGCCCAGGCGCGTAACCTCCTTATAAAATCACCTCAGCGGCCTCACATCACTCACAGCAGTGGCTCTTTCCTTCGGGACTAGGGACGCATGGGTATAGATGAACGCTCACCCTCTTGCAAGGGCTTGGAGAACAGATTGGCTGGCACTGTGCAAATGTCCATGCAAACCTTGGCCTCAGGGCCATTCCCCAGCAATCTGCTGTCCTCTTGAGAATGGAATTTTAGAGTAATCACTGCTTTCCATGTGCGTAGGTCAAATAGTATTTCGGTCACACAGCTAACAAGTCAATGCCCTGACCTCCTTGCTCCTGGTAGCTGTTTCCTGCACTTGGAATTGCACAATCCAGGGTCATCGGTGCAGCTGGCTCTGTGATGAAGGGCAGGTGTGACGTAGATCAGAGGTAAGGGGGCAGAGTGGCTACATGGAAGAGAGAGCCTTCGCTCTTGCAACAGAATTTCACAACGCACCAATTAATGATACTGAAAGGAGACCTCATTTCAGCCCTGGAAGGGTTTGGCCCTGACGCAAGGTGGATGTGTCTTAACAGAGTATTGATTGGCATTGCAAATAATTAAAAAACATAAATTATCTTTGATTCAAGGGTACTTTTAATTAATGAAAAAGGAGAGATACTTTGATTACACAATTTTAACTCCCATCAACTATTCTTGGCAGCCAACGTAACTTTCCTTGACAACTCCCTCAAATATTTCTCTGGAATCAGAGTTTGTATTGTATTAGAAGTAAACAGATTTGGATGCCTGTCTTTGTGAAATAAGAAGGTAATTTTTGTCCCATGAAAGAGTTGGTAGGACAGTGTTTGAAAGGGGGGCAATTTCTGTTCCTTTTCCAGCCTTGTTGAGAAGTAACTGGCATACCTCACTGTATCAAGTTAAAGGCGTACAGCATGAAGGTTTTCTACACATTGTGAAATGATCACTGCAGTGGGTTCAGCTGCCATCTGTTCACATGAATACAATCAAACGAAAAAAAGGAAGACACCTTTTCCCCTCGTGAGAGGTTTCTTTGGACGCACTCTTTGACCAGCTGTCTTCTGTGTTATACAGCAGTGTTGGCTACAGCCGTCATGTTGTACATTACATCGCTAGTATTCACTCATCTCACAACTGAAGTTGGTACCTTCCGACTACTTCTTTTTTCTTTTTGGCCTAGTGATAGGGGTGGGGTGGGGCTCAGGGTCTGCAGCATGAGCTTAGCAGAGAGATACTGGCCTGATTCCCAGTCTCCTAACGCCAAGCCCTGCAGGCCTGGAAAAGTCTGGAAGAGAACAGTAATGCGTGTGGAGGTAGCAAGCTGTGTGTGCACGTAGGAAACTGGGTTACATCAGTAATAGTGACTATGGCTGGGCTTGAGAATTACATGTGGAGATTATTTTTACCCTATTATTACTTTTTAATGTCTTAATGGCTGCCTGGCTATATTCTTAAAGGTCCAGTTTACCCAAACCAGTTTAGGTTTGGAGAGGGACCTGGGTATTTGTATTTTTATACAAAAATACAAATGAAATTTTATAAAAAAATTATTGTGGGTATCTTGCTCTGTGTTCTTGGACACTCAGACATTTACAAACATTTAGAAAGTGCTATTGGAAAGTTGATCATTCTGAGCAAGCACAGACTGATGCATGTAGGGAGCTGCTTTGCATGGCATGGAAACGTAGCTCAGCCACCACATGGAAAACCAGTGGGGAGCAAGTGGCACGCAGGACCACGCCCACAGAGAGGTTTTCCCATGGGGAATCAGGCCTGCATTGTACCTAAACTGCCATAAGACTTGCTTTTGCTAAAACTCCCTCACCCTGAATTGAGGCAGCAAGGGCTTAGTGTAACTTCCTAAAGTCTGTGCTAAACCTCCCAAGTATGGAGTGTGACCAGTTCAACCACTTTTCCCCCTGGTCTGCAACATCTTTCTCTTTGAAGTTATTAGTAACATTCTTTCATTTGTTATCTGTAAAAAGTAGTCCCCTGCAGTGAACCTGTGCACAGTAAATGAGGACTACCCTCCATGTAATGTACCCAGAAAAGCAATAAAAGCCTGTCCAGGCAGGGACTGGCTGGCTGGCCCTCTTGCCCTTTCTCTCTCAGAGAGTGGCCGTGCCGTCCCTTTTTCTCCACAGGACTTCTGTTGTCCATGTGTATTTGTTCTCTAGCAGCCACAAACATACACGGATCCTGCTGGCCAGGATCCGCCACAGATGTAATCACTAAATAAAATACAAAAATAAAGGGGTGTATCCATTCCTTGGAAGGCCCAGGATATTTGAGGCAAGAAAGCCTAGAGATGAGCACAAGCCCTGGCGACAGGTGCCAGAGGGGGAGTCCCAGCACCTCGTCTTCCTGCTGGCTGAACAGAGTAAGTCTTCTGGACTGAGAATTGGGGGAAAGGTCAGTTCTGCCAACCGATGCTCTAAGTACCATCCCGGCTGCCACGCACCACCTTCAGTGTCTCTGCTTCACAAAAGCCATTCTTATGCTTCCACCTCTATGGTCCACGTGCTAACCCTCTTCTTATAACAGGATTCTTTCTCTCTCACTGTGCATGGAATGCTAAACCACGGCATGCCCTGCATCCCCAAGCGAAGATCCATCAGGAAACATTTCTATTCCAAGCTTTGTACCATGTGTACACTGAGAATTTGGAGGTTAAAAGCAAAGCCTGATTATGCAAGTAGCTTACACTGCAGGGAGGGAAGACAGTCCACTAAGAATCACAGAGGCATATTGGGGGTGTTGCAGAGCAACAGGGAAAGGGCACAGGACCCAGCCCAGAAAGCCAGGAAAGGCATCCAGAAGAGGTGATGGCTGCGTCTTGAAGGAGGGAACCAACCTTACAATTGCAAGGAGGGAAAGCAGTGTGGCCAAGTCAGGCACACGGCAATCATTCAGTGCAGGGCAGGAGGTGGAATAGAGAAGGCTCGGGAAGGAGCAGGCTCATGGCCGGGGGCGGGGGGCGGGGCACAGACCCTCCTGAGAGTGTCAACTTAATGCAGAGGGCGGTAGAGGGAGCCACTGAATGAAGGAGACATTCTTTGAGATGTGACAAAGTAAATTCATTCACTACTGCGGTAAGAGAAAACAAAAACTTGTGCAATAGCACCACCTAATGGGATACAAAAGAAAAACCTTGACTTAACCAACCTGTTAGATTGTTAAAAGCAAAACAGTACTTGAAGATCTCAATACACGTCCAGACAAAGAAAAAATCTATCAAGAGCAATCAATAAAATAACCACGGTAACAAGGGAGTTCAAAACAAAAAGAGAATAAAAAATCTCCAGAAAATAAATGTAAAGACATGGAAGACTGAATTAAATGGCAGAACATTCAACTTTGCGGCTCTGTAAAAAAAAACAAACAAACAAAAAAAACACCTCAGTGAGATGCAAGAAAACTCAGAAAAGCAGTTTAATGAGTTCAGAAACCAACAAACTAAAGGAGGACTTTACCAATGAGATTTAAGCTACAAAAAACAAAAGAGCTGAAGAACTCAATAAATGAGACAAAGAATGAATTAGCAAGCTTAGGAAATAGAAAAGACCAGATGGAGGAAAGACTTGGTGATATTGATGATAAAGATCTAGGAAGGACCCAGTGGAAGGAGAGAATTGAGAGTAAAAAATTAATGAATGAACTCTGAGGATTATCTATTCAAATGGAGCAATATAAGGATATTGGATATATCAGGAGAAAAAAGAGTGGAAGAAAGGATGAGAGAGCTTATTTGAACAAATAAGTGATGAGAACGCCCCAAAACAAAAGTATAGAACTGAGACACATAACATACGAAAGAGGAAATAGAGGGGGAAATTGTACAATACCACAAAACTAAAATAGTAGGCAAACGTAAGGCGTGGGGACACCAAGCAACCAGAAAACAAAAAACAAAACGGCTACAGGATGTCCTCGTGTATCGATAACCACACTAAATGTAAATGGACTAAACTCCTAATTACAAGGCACAGAGTAATGGGATGGGTTAAAAATCAAGACCCAACCACACCTTGTTATATAGGGAAATGCATCCCTACTACAGAGACAAACACAGACTCGCAGGAAGGGGGCAGAAGATGACATGCCAAGCAAATGGTATCCAGAGAAGCGAGGGTGTAGTCAAGTTTATGTTGGACCAAGCAGATTTCAAGATAAACAAGAGACAAAGATTCACATTTTGTAATTATGAAGGAGGTAATTCATGAAGAAGACGTAACACTTCATATATATACATCCACCCTGGAACTGTGTGCGCATATATGTTTACACACACACACACACACACACACACACACACACACACACACACATATACCTAAAGGAAGAAACTGACAAAAATGCAATGATAATAGGGGAACTAAATACCCCTTGGACAGCATTTCACAGGATACCTAAACAGAAACAGCCCTAAATGACACATTAGACCAAATGGACATAACTGGTATCTACAGAGCTTTCCATCTCCAAAATGAGAATTCTTCTCGAGTGCACACGAATGTTCTCCAGGAGAGACCACATGTTGGGACACAAAACTAGTCTCAATAAACATAAGAAGACTGAAGTCATACCAAGCATAATTTTCTTTCTCTCTTTTTTTTTTCTGAAGGAGTCCCAGACCCACACCAGGCCCCAGCCAGGGTTCCTAAGCCAAGAAGATAAGTCCCCACAACTTCCAGCTGCAAAAACCAGCAGGGATTGAGTTGGTGGAAGAAACTTCTGGAGCCCCAAGCAGTTCCTCTTAAAGAACCCACACATGGACTCACCTACTCAGACTCATTCCCTCCAAGCTCCAGCACCAGGGTAACTGCTTGAAAGGCACCAGTGGCACACAGGGAGAAACTGAAGTGTCTGGCATCAAGGTGAGCAGAGGCCAGTGTCCCTTTGCTAAACCCATGCCCCACAGAGCCGGCAAGCTGCTGCCATGTCTGAGACTCCATCAACCTGGATAACACAAACACTGTGTGACCCACCTCGGAGACCTCCAGAGACTCTGCCCCACCCAACTTACAGGCCCACCTCAGCTGCTTTTCCAAATGAATGGCTGGTCTTGGCTCAAGCTTCACAACTTCCTAAATCCTCCCAAATGAGCAACAACGGGCCTCAGTGAGCCCCAGGCCCATCACTAGCAGCGGCCAGCCTAAATTCACAGCTTGGCTTTGCCTGGGAATCTCCAAGCCCAGCATCCATATTTTCCAATCACATTAGAATGAAATTGGAAATGAACTATAAGAAGAAAGCTGGAAAAAACCCACAAATATGTGCCAATTAAACAACGTGTACTGAACAATGACTGGGTAAAAAAAAAAAACAAAAGGAGGAATCAAAAGATACATAGGACAAATAAAAATGACAACCCGACATATCAAAATTCGGGGGATGCAGCAAAGGCAGTACAAAGAGAGATGTTTACAGCATTGCAAGCCTAGCTCAAGGAGCAAGAAAAACTCAAACAAACAATCTAACATTTCATCTTAAAGAACTAGAAAAAGAAGAACAGATGAAGCCCCAGGCAGTAGAAGAAAGGAAATAATAAAAATTAGAGTGGAATTTGACAAAATCAAGAAAAAGACAACAGAAAAAATTTTAATAAAATGAAGAGCTGATTCTTTGAAAAGACAAGTAAAATCGATAAAGCTAGACTCACTAAGGAAAAACAAGAAAAGACTCAAATGAATAAAATCATAAATAAAAGGAGCCATACAATAGAGCAAAGTTGCATTCCAGTCTCTATGTGTGACTCAGCTGGGCATGCACACATGCCGTCCCTTCTCATCCAGCAGGAGGGAGAGTTACAGGGTCTGCACTGCCTTGGGGTAGTGGGACCAGTACAACGGGGACAGGATCTTCCCCAGAGAAACTGAGTTTGAGAGGGGAGTATCAGTGTTTTAGGTCAACATTTTAAAAAAATCCTTTTAAGGAATATGTGAGAAATTGGAAAAGGACGAAGTAACTATTAAATGTGATTTCCACAAACTGTTTACTACACTGAGGGTGGATTTTCCACTGGCTATCAAATATCACACTAAGTATTCCTTGCTAATAATATTCCATGTCTTAATGTGAGTGATGGTTTAAATGTGCCAATTGGCTTTGTGGTAATTTGTTAAGCACTTTTTCATCAAGTTCAACTTTTCTGTATGTAAGTTATACTTTAAAAAAAAAAAAAAGACAAAGCACCCCTGAGTACGCTGTGTTTAGCATGGCCGTAAAGGTTATGTGAGGGCTAGTGGATTTCAGCAAGATCTCAGTGTAAGCCTGTTTTCAGCATAACAAAAAATTTACTATCAATCTAGATTCTTATTTGAAACTGCAGAGAAAATGTTGAGGTCAACCTTCACTCGCCAGTATGGCAATCTAAGCCAGCGGTCCCCATGGAACTCGGCATTTCTAGCAGGGTTCCTGCTCGAGTATTCCTGATTCGAGATCCTCAATCTATCGCTTTTGGGCCACGGCTCACTGCCTTCATGGGGGGCGGGGGGTGGGCAGCAGAAAGCCTTTTTACCGATCCTTTGACCGCTAAAACCAGTTCTGAAAAACAAAACATATTATCTTATGTTTTGACTATACCCCAAGTACAGAGACCGGAAAGATATACTAATAGATCGGGCAGTAAGTCCCATTCGTTATTTTTTTAACCTCATTGGTGGCCCTGGATCGCTCTGGGGCTAAGATGGGTGCTGTGGACCTTCTCCCCTTGATGCTGTATAAGGAAGCTCCGCCGGCACTGTCTGCCCGGTTGATCACTCCCTCGCTCTGCCCGCTCTCTCGTAAGGTTACGGCCTCAACCAGCGCAGCCTCGCGGGCCGTGGTCCGCGGTCGATCCAGCTCTGGGACTGGAATCACCGGGAGGGGGAGGGCGGCCGAGGCCGGAACGCAGTTTCCGGGCCCTTGTTGCCCACCGGAAGGTTCAGGGCACGGAACGCGCCTGCCAAGGGAACGGAAGACAGGAGGGGGGGGGGTGTGTTTAGCTTGGGACCCGTCGGTTCTGTTCGCCGTTCAGTTTGTTTCTGGGCAATGTTTCCAAGAGTGTTAGCGGTCCTGCCGCTTCGTCCCCGTCCCCCACTGTGCTCTGGAGGTCCAGAGGTGGCGGCTGCGATTGCGCTTCTCCATGCCCCGCAAGGACCGGTCAGGTACCGCCTTCCGCCACTGTCGGCCCCGCAGGGCTACTGGCCACCCCCGGGCCCCCTCTCACTCCTTCATTTGTCACTCAACCCGTGGGATCTTAGAAGCTGTGGCTTCAAATCCTAGGAAGGGGAAGTCCCAGAAAAATAAAAGGACTTGCCCAAGGTCGCAGCGCCCGTAGGAAAGCTATGGTGACATTCCTGGTCTACTGTCCTGGCTCTTTCTACGACACGCCGCGCCTTAGCTCTCTCGCCACTTCTCCCCTCGTTTCATCCAGGCTCCAGGGGCGAAGTATTGTCTTTTCTCTTTTGCCTCCCAGAATTGGGATGGTCTCCCTCCTGCCTTCATTTAGTCTTCAGTTAATTATTGAAAGTACTTGCAGTGTGCCAGCGTGAGACAGTCCTGCCATCACGGGGCTTACAGTTACCCCAAGGAGGCAGTGCACGTGGGGTTATAGCTGAGAGCGTAGGGAGCACAGAATGCTCTACTAATTTAACACATGCCGGTAGTTGCTGGGTTTGCAAAGAGGGGCACCAAACCATTGGAGACTCCGAGTATGCTTTCTGGGAGAGCAGTCGGAAATAATCGGAAGGCGGACCAAGACTAGGCAAGAAAAGGAGTTGTGGCGTACTTGGTGGCATTCCTTACTCTCTGAGAACCCTCATGATTGTGACACTTTAATTCTGTGGCACATATTCCGTGCAGTACGATTTGGGGCCACTGGGGTGAATAGGCACAGGCCTGAGGCAGGTTGGAAGCAGTGGGGATGAGGAGAAGGGGCCGGACGGAGGGGAGAAATCACACCGGTAGAATTGATAGGATGCGACATACATACGAGGTAAAGGTAGGATAGTTAAAGCAGAGATTTCAGCTGGTTCCCTTGAAGGATTAGGGTACCTACTGTAACAGAAGAACGAGGAGAGGCTTTGAGAAAGCTTTTAAAATATGTCCGTTTTTAGAATACAAAAATATGTTTATGGGAAGAGGCTCATTGACTACAGAAGAATGAAAAACAAAAGTCTGCCTGAGAGGGGAGCTCCTGAATGTGGTCTTGAATGTGTTGACTTTGAAGTGCTGATGAGATGCTGTCAGTAGAAACACGCCCAGGAGGGAGGGTAGAGCTGGAGTGTTCTTGTCTTAGTACTAGGGAGTTTTTTCCTATCTGTGATTTTCCTGGTACAAATATAATTTCAACATTACCGTAGCATGGTCTTGGAAGGAAACATTGAAATACAGGTTATATGTGGCATTCATTCCCTTGATTGCCACCATTCTGTTATACCTTTAATTTAACTTTCACATGTGAAATAATAATTAGAGCATTTTCCTAAGTTGAGTAACACCAAGTATTGAATACTATAATGTGGCTCCTTTGTACAGATTATGAGGATACTAGTTATACAATGAGTTCTTCATTCTACTTTTTAAGTGCCTGATGAATTAGCCTCTGGCATTTTTATAAGCATCTCAAATAGTTTGTCTTAGCATTTTTGGAAGTAGCCATTTTCTTTTTCATGAAAAGCCCCTAACCTGGCACTGCCATTGGCTGGCTTTGAGAGCTTGACACAGTATTTAACCCACGGTCTGATGCAGGGTCTTGAGATTGTTTTCATCAGAATCACCTGGGGTCTGGGTTAAGTGCAGATCCTTGGACCCCATTCCAAACCTACCAACTAATAATCTCAGGAATCTAAGTTTTGTTCATTTTTAGAGAGAGGGGAAGGGAGGGAGAAGGAGAGGAGGGAAACATTGCTATGGGAGGGAAACATCAATCAGCTGCCTCCTGCATGTGTGCAACTGGTGACCTGGCTGGCAGTCCAGGCATGTGCCCTGATGGGGAACTGAACTGGCGACCTTTCGGCCCAACCCACTAAGCTACACCAGCCAGGGCTATCTATACCTTGATTAAAAAAAAAAAAAAAAAAAGGGAAAAGGGATGGGCTTGATTTTAAAAAATTTAAAAACACAGAGAAACAGTTCTGTGTCCTAGCATTATTATTTGGATTGTGTTTTTTTCTTTTTTCTCTCTTTTGTCATCTTTCCAGGACGCAAAATAACACCCAAAGGTACTTTGGCACTAACAACAGGACCTACAGCAAGAAAGATGGGCAGTCCATTCCAACCCGTGAGATTCCCAAGGAGACAGAGAGCCAAGACAGCGTGAAGGAGGATGGGAAAAGAGGCTTGTTAAACATCATTAAGGGCATGAAAGTTGAGTTAAGTACAGCGAATGTGCAGACCACAAAGCCACCCAGCAGAAAAGCACTTAAACATTTGGAGGCTACGACTGGCAAGCTTCAGAAAGCTATGGGAGATGACCCAAAGAAGAGGTAAATTAAATTACAGTTTGAATGTTCTCCTTTGAAAGTAATTTTGAAACTCCAGTTTTTTCTTTAGAAAACAAAATAAAAAAAAATCATTAGTTTCATTCCCAAATGTTTCTTCAAATTCAAATTAGAGTGCTACTCTTCCCTAAATACACCTTCTGTCCTTTTGTCTGAGCCTGATACGTGCATTCCATTCTACGCATCAGCATGTCCGCATTCTCAACCCAGCCTCAGCTCCTGGCTCTGAGAGCTTTCCCTGACCCAGTGGCCCATCCCGTGTCCCCGTTCTGAGCCTCTCTGTATCTATCGAGTGTCCTCCGAGTACCAGCTAGTCTGTTAAAGACTTTATCTCTGCTTTCTTTCCTGTTGCCACTAACATTTCCGGAAAACAAAACAAAACAAAAAACCTCCTTTACTCAGTTCTCTGCTCATTTGATTTCTCTTTCCTGCTGGACAGATTCCTCTTTCCAGCAGGACCTGTGTGCCTCACTGTTTCTCTTTCAGGACCTAGGACAGCCCCCGAGGGAATAAGTGGTAGATAATGGGTGCTGATTTGCTGTTAGCAGTGTGGCAAGGAACCAGGTGGATGGGTAGAGCTGCATGGATGGAGGATGCTCATTCCTCTATAAAACAGAGACGTGAAAACTGTTGTAGAAAAGCTACGAACTTTCTGCCAACAGGTCATCATTAGAAGCTGAAGAGGTGACACCTGTGCTCAGGTTTTTTGTAAAAGGACACTTTCTACAGTCAAACAATCATTGTTACATATCATTTATGAGCTGTGCATCATTTAATGATCACTGTTTATCGTTTAATGATCATTAATCTGTTTTGTCTATGTGGATTTTGCTTGTTGTTCTGCTCTTTTGGCGAATTTTCTGAAGGCTAGACAAACTTATGGGCTCAACAGACTTTTGACAGTGCAGGTGTGGGGCGGTGGGCAGTGGGCGGTGGGCGGTGGGCAGCAACAGTTCCGATCCAGACTGGATTGCAGCTCTGCACATCCTTGCGGAGCTTTTAATTTAAAAATAGAAAGTAAAAAAATGTAAATTAGAAGACACGGAAGATAATGAATTAATGGGTTTAAATAGGAAGACAATGTACAATGTAGAAAGAAGGAAGGAGTAATTGAGAATTCCATACATTCTCTCAAACAGTCATCAGTATTATTAACTGCCATCAATTGTCTCTTGAAGTTATTAACATTTCATTTACATCCTGATTTGTAGGTAGCTTCATGTCTCAGAAGAGCTTGTTATGAAATTTCCATTTAAAAAATTCTACCTAGCATGGTGTTTTAGCATATTGTTTCCAACTGTTTTATGTGGCTTCCTTTGGCCAGTAATCTTCAGTGCTCTGAGCTGCTGTGGTGTCCTCAAAATACTGTAATTACTTGTGCTTGTCAAGAGTATTATATTTCACTAAGTGTAAGTGCAGTCAGTGATATTCTAGCATTTGTGGGGGTGTTTCAGTGGCAGCTTTTTGTGGAAGTGATGAAGAATGTCCTACACGAATGACATCATTGATTTAAGTGATAAGGTCTATGGCTTTAAGATCCCCAACACTGATTTCCCTTTGCAGAATAAACAGGTAAAGTAGATTCCTATTTCCCAGAATGACTTATTTGTTATTATTTTCAGAACTTTTATGGAATCTCTTGTTTTCTACATTATGTCACATTGTATCAAAAACACCTCTGGAAAGTATAATTGGGTGATAGTGAGTAGGCCGATTCAAACAGTGAGTGCCCGTAATACGTACTTCCTTCTCCTCTTTTAGAAACAAAATAAAAAATACATGTGGTACAGACTAATGAACACACAAACATATGTACTTACCTGGAGTGAGTTGTTTAGTAGCCCCAGACCTGTTTATGACCCATTGTGCCTTTTATTATAGTGACACAGTTTAATTAACTGGTACAGAAATAGTTAAAATGAGTTGAATGCCATGCAAAGATTCAGTAAAGGTAATTTTCGAAATTGCTTTCCAATTAGATATGAATGAGACAAGCGTAATCATTTAGGAAAACTCTATCCCGGTTGCTCTGTAAGTTTTTTGAAGTTCCTGCGCACGTTTCTACTTAAAGAAACCGAAGTTGGGGTGTTGGAGAGGCACTGTGTGTGGTGCGCACGGAAACGCTCTGTCCTGGAGCTGCTGTCATGGCCCCGTCTTCAAAGAAGAGGCTTGGTCTTACATCAGAAGACTGGTGGATGAGGTGCATTTGTACTTACAAATCTATCTTTTGATGATTCCTACTCCCCCACCAGGGGGTCCCAGATGCACGGAATGGGGCTAATCATCACCTCCGGTCACGGTGCGCTGGCACCGTGGCTTCATGCACAGTCTGCTTGCGTTTCTTTATTTGTGTCCTATTGAACCACCATGGATAGAGCCACCACGGCTGCGTAACAGCTGCCCAAGAATTTAGTGGCATAAGAAAGCGTTTCTCATGCTGTGGATTCTGTGGGTCGGCAGTTTGGACAAGGCAAGGTGGAGCTTTCTTCATGCTGGGCTTCGGTTAGAAGGTCTGAAGTCGGGGGGCGGGAATCCCCTGAAGTTAGCTCGCTCGTGGGTCTGGAAGTTGATGCTGGCTTTCAGCTGAGACCGTGACGGATTGGCAGCAGGAGCACCTCCCCGTGGCCTCTCTGTGGGGTCTGGCTTTTCTTACTGCATGTTGCCTGGCTTCCCAGAGTGAGTGTCCCAGGAGAACAGGACCGAGGAGGAACTTGTGTAGTTTTTATGACCTAACCCTGGAGTCAGACTGGATACCATTGCTACTGTCTGTATTTAGCTAATTATTGATGAGAAAGGGGAGAGCAAAGGGAGCCAGACATTGAGTTTATTAATAAAATGGAGAACATGAGCCTGTTTGCTTTACTGGGAAGCCACACTTTAATCAACACCCCAGGGAATTGGAGTACTGTGCTCCACCAGGGGAATCAGTACTCTTCCCCTCACCCCTCCAGCACCGGGTCGTTGGGGGGCACAGGGGCTGGGGCTGGACCACACAGGCCCGTCAGTGTAACTAGGGGGTGTGGACTCATCCAAAGCCCGCAGAAGCCTGGGAAATTGGTCATTTTGAAAAAGCACTTGGTCCAGCCCAAGCTAATGGGATCCCAGGGAGACAGAGCAGCGCACGTGTCCTCGCTGTCTCCCTCTCCCAGACAGATACCGCTGGAGCTAGAATTGTCGGGCCAACGGATTTGTGTATTTTCAGGTTTATGATACATACCACCAAGTTGCCTGCCAGAAGTCACACAGTGTACATGTCCACTGAATAGTATCTTTCACTTCATCAGGGTCCCTTTTCTGAAATTTTGTGTGTCACCCGGTTCATTTTAAAGAAGTTCAGAAGCACAGAAGGGTATAAAGTGAAAAAAGTATGTATTCATGAAATAGTCTGAATTATGGGATAGAATAGATTGTTAAAAGATATTTTTAAAATTCTCATCACTTGTTAAAATCTATGTAGAAATATCCCTGTATTTTGACGACAAAGGCTCCCCCACAACTTTTGTTAATTATAACACTTCAAATTATAAGAGGAAGAGTCAGGACTGCATAAAGAACACCACTGTCATAACAGGTACAGCTGCGGGAATGAACACTCTTCTAGAGTTTTTTCCACTGTGGTCTGACACACAGGGCTGGCAGAAGTCACGCCTGCTCGAGTGGGGTTGTAGGGCAATAATGAGGGTGTGGTCATGTGTAGTTTTAATGTGAACATGTCCCCTAAAATGTCATGTGGTGTGCTTGAGTGTGATGGTGTTGTTACAGAATTGCCTGCTTGTGGTTTGTAAGAAAACGGGGCAATGTTTGAGCTGCACCTTGTATAGTAAAATGTGAGAATAGACTTCACAATAGTTGATGAAAGAAGCACAGTGACATGAGATTTAAGCTTTATTCACAGGTAACTTTTAATTTGACTGTTCTATTTCCTCCTCTTTATTTTATTTTCCTTCTATTCCAGTGAGATTTTAGATCTCTCCTACCTTAGTAAAGCCCTGCAGGGCTTCACCCGCCAACCTCAGGGTGGGCTGGGCTTGTGTAGTAGACAGGGTCATGGTGTAGAAGGCCAGGCAGAGCCCAACGTTCATTTGGTCCCCTTCATTGAGGTTCTCAGTGAGTTAGAAAATGCAGATCATTTCTCTTTTTGTCTCTGGCATGTTGTGCTGTTAACTTATCCTAATTTACTGGAGAGTAGCACTTTTTTAGTGTTTTGTTACGGGAAATTTAAATCCCACAGAGGAAACAAAGTCAAGTAATGAACCCCTTTGTACCTGTCACCCAGCTTCAGCAGTCATTGCCTTTCTTGTGTCATCTGTGCCCCCACCCACTTCCCGTCTCCTACTCCACGGTGCACAGTGAAGTGCGTAAATCTCAGTTGCAGGGTTTTGACAAACGCGTCCACCCATGTCACTCACGCACGGACCGAGATGCAGAGCATGTTCTGTTGTCGTGTTCCCGTCTGCTGTCCTGAGGCGACTACGGTTCTGGTGTTTTTCACCTTAGATGAATTTTGCCTGTTCCAGAATGTGATATAAAGGGAATCATACATTGCAGACTCTTTTTGTGTCCAACTTGTTTTATCCAGTTTCATTTTGTGGCCTGAGCTCAGTACCATTCCGTTGTGTGGATACGCATGGATCACAGTTTGTTTTCCTGATGGTAGATGTTTGGGTTGTTTCCAGTGTTAGGCTATTGTGAATAAAGCTTCCGTGAACAGGGGCGGCCACTTTTATATTTGCTTGTTATATGTATATATAGAAATAAAATGACACCTCGTTAAAAACCTACCAATTTATAACTTTTAGGGCTGATCCCTATCCACCTTAATATAGTTTTCTGAGTTAATTTTGTGCTTTAACAAGTATGCATTAACTTTAACCTTTGACATTTCAGTTTATATGAAACCGATACTTAATGTTTAAGAACTCTCGATTTTTGTCAGAAATTGAAAGATACATTTTTGAACCAAAAACCATTTTCTCTGAAAACGCCGTTTTACTTTCCGCTGAACTGGTGGCATGACAAGTGGCGCCTCTGTTTCCTCCTCATTTGTTTCTCATCTTCTTCTTCAGAAGTGACTCACTGAGCCCGGAGTTGGTGGCGGCCGCCTCTGCTGTCGCAGAGTCCCTCCCTTCTGACAAGCAGGCGACCAAGTCGGAGCTGCTCCGGCAGCTGCGGCAGCACGAGGAGCTCTCGCGGGCACAGAGAGACGGGGAGAGACCCAAAATCAGGTGGGTGACCCGGGCGGTGTGTGGGCACGCTGACGTCTCAGAACTAACGGGCTGTTTCCACGTAACTGATGAGTAACGTGAGGTCTGTCCAGAAGGGATGCAGCTGGTACTGTGAAAAATAGAGACATTGGAGAGATACAAGACACGAGACGTTGTGCACAGGACAGTGATGTCTCAGTCCCCCTCAAAGGAGGCACCTGGGACCTCACTCAGTTCTCCCAGTCACCGTCAGCTGAATTACAGTCATATTTTTCTGAATTACATTGACGGTCTGAAAGTCTCTTCCTTTTTCTTTTTTTAAAAAAAATTTTTATTGTATTTTTTTACATTACCTTTCGGACCCCTCATACCTCCTCCCCCCAGCAGTCACCGCACTGTGGTCCACGTGTCCTTTCTCCTTTTTGCTCAGTCCCTCCACCACCACTAACTGTAGTCCTGTTCTTCGTCTGTGAGTCTGTCTCCATTTTCTTTGTTCAGTTTGTTCATTAGATTCCACATATGAATGAAATCACATGGTATCTGTCTTTCTCTAACTGGCCTATTTCACTCAGCATAATGTTCTCCAGGTCCATCCATAGTGTTGCACAGGGTAAAATTTTCTTCTTTTTTTGTGTAAATGTCCCATAGTTGGTTTATCCACTCATCTGTTGATTGGACACTTGGGCTACTCCCATATCTTGCTGATTATAAATAACACTGCAATGAACATAGGGGTGCTTACGTTCTTTTGAATTAGTGTTTTGGGCTGCTTCAGTTGTATACCTAGAAATGGGACCACTGGGTCAAGGGCAGCTCCGTTTTCCATTTTCTGAGGTAGTTCCACACTGCTCTCCACAGGGGCTGCACCCGTCTGCACTCCCACCCACCGTGCAAAGGCTTCCCCTTTCTCCACGTCCTTGCCAGCACTTGTTGTTTGTTCTTCCCTTTCAAAGGTGGTTTTAGTTTCGGGAAAAATCAGAAGTTGCAGGGCCCAAATCTGGGGTGTAAGGGGCTGAGTCACCTGAGTGATTTGATGTTTCACCAAAAAACTCTGCACGATATCCGATGCATGAGTGGGCATGTGGTCACAATGAAGCTGCCAATCACCAGTTGCCTGTAGCTTTGGGCTTCTGGATTATCCCAATAGTTTCTGAGGAGGATTGTTAAGCTCAATGCAAGATTTGAAGTAGATTCGTTGCTCTACTCACTCATCATTTCGAATGTGACAGCCACACAGTACACGTGCTCACTCAGTGGCATCTACCGCCCCCACTGACTAGTTCAGGGAAGTCGTCATTGTTCACGCATGTGCATTCCAGTCCACTCTCCTTGGCTGCCAGGTTACACCGATGTCACGGAAACTATTCTCATTATATTAACAATGGCTGGACTTTTTCTGGACAGACCTCATATATATAATGTATTTCATTTATATGCAAAATATAAGATATGCCTCATAAATGGAATAGTGGTAATTTGTTAAACTCATGTCTTAAGTAAATGGAATAGTGGTAATTTGTTTAAAAAAACTCATGTCTTAAGTAAAATTACAGTTTTTAGAAGACCAACTGAGTGGTTAAAGTTTCCTTTTGAGAAGTTACAGTTTCTTATCTCTGAAAAAGAGATGAAGAAAAATAAATTTAAATAAATAATAAATAAAAATAAATTTCTGGTAAATTTAATAATATTATTAAAAATTAATAAATAACAATAAGACAGTTTCTCTGAGGCCAATTTTTTTCAGTTAAATAATTTTCGATTTTTATGCACAATATGATCGTCAGGCCTGGTCGCCTTTTCTCTCTTCTCACTGTCATCCAACACCTTTCCCCTCCCCCTCCCTCTCCCCCTCCCCCCTCTCCTCCCCCTTGGTGTCACACCACTGCCAAAAGCCGTTGGGGCTTGGGCGTTGGGCAGCGCTGCTTTGTTCTGGGAGCAGCCTGAGTCAGCAGTTCTCAGGGAGCCTGTGCACAAGCTTTGTCTGGGGAAGTGAGAGGGAATGCAGACCACTGGACTGGCGTTCAGATCGCTCATTTCATTTACATTTGAACAAGTGCAAGGCAGTAAATATGGCTAGATTTCCACTTCAATTTACGTTCTCATCCTATGCGATACATACACAGGTGTTGGTGGTAGGTCAACTGCTCTAGGTATTAGACAGTTTTACATAACTGACACTTTGTGTTTTAAATGAATGCATCTGAAGAGCATCTTTAAGGTAGAGGGAAACAAAAATCTCAGTATGTGGAATTTGAATGTTAATATGTGACATAACCTTTTATTATACATAAGTTTTTATGTCGTATTATTGCATAAAAGTGAAATAAAAATTCTATGAATAATGTTTTCTACTATTCTGTAAATTTTGTAATACACTTGGCTTTTTCCGATTTCAGTTTCAGTAACATAATATCAGATATGAAAGTTGCCAAAGCTTCCACACCTCGAGTTAGTACGAGACCCGTTCATCAGATTCAGTTTGATGAAGGATCCGACGGTTTTGCCGACCAGGAGAAGACCGCTGACCACAGAAAAAGGTACGGAAACCTTGCAGTCTGTTGGGTTGTTTGTTTCCCTGTAGATTCACTTTATTGCCGACAGGTATCCGAGCAGTGTGGATGCACTTACATCTGTCTCCTTACCCTCCACCTACCATTTCCTAGTCAGAGACAGATGTTCTGAGTTTGGCATTCCTGTGCTTTTCTGTAGCATAAATCAGAATGGGCTCTGTCTTCCCTCTACCCACAGGAAATGGAGGTCTCCTGACTTACAACAGACGGAGCTGGGTGAGGTCTGACTTGGCAGGTGCATTATTTTTCATTCTGATATGTGCCTAACCATGTATGTTCATATACTGTTTTTACCTCTTCATACAATCATCTTTGTTCATACCTTAGAGGAATATCCCACCATCAAAGAAAGAAAGATCCATTATAATACCTTAAAATGGAGATTATTCATGGCAATGTGAACTTAGCAGTTTGTAGTTCTTACAGGTACTAAGCGTTGCCTTACATGTTTTATAATAGAAAGCTATCTGTATGTTCATAATGTTTCTGTTCTCTCTCCAACTCGTAAAGAGGTCGTTGGGGAGGGGGAACCAGATACTTAGCATGGTCTGACAAAAACTAACTCCGCTCTGTAGCGGAGGTGCTCACAAATGAATGTCTTTGATTTCTACTTTATGGATTTTAAGTATAATCTCAGCACTTTGAGTTAGCTCCTTCCAGGTATTATCTTACCAGTTTGTACAGGAAGATTAGACAGGATGGTTAGAAGTTAACAATGGAAGTTTAAGGGCTTACAGGGTCTTTGGAAGATTCTTTGATTGTGAATTTAAAGTGATTTTATAGCTATGATACATTCTTGATTAAAGTAGAATGTGTGTTAGAGTTTTACTCAAGGTCCCTCGAGAATATTTAAATTGAATCTGCTCCGAATCAGTCTTTGAGATGACTCCATGTAACTACAGTAGAAGAATGCTCCGTCATAGTTTGATTTTGATGGTATTAGCTGTCATTAGAAATGAGAGGGCAGCAAGGGAGACGCTAACAAGGTAGGAAAGGCTGGGTGTGCACGTATGACTGTGTTGTAGAGATGACCGAAGGACTCTGGAGGACGGGCAGGCAGCGGTGAGACACCAGGTCTCCCCGCTCTGTCTTGGCTCAGCCCGAGACAGCCCAGGCCTGGACTGATTGTTCCCAAGCCGAGACCGGAGGTGCGTGTCACAGAGCACTGGCTGTGCGGTCACGGAACAGAACTGGCCTGCCTCAAAACCCGGGCACTGTGCCACTGACTAATTCTGCAACTGGGGACTTTCAGAGACCCCAGGCTGCTGCCCCAGCTCTAAGATGCTGAAAGTGGAGCCCAGCTGAAATGTCTTTCTTGAAGAATAGGAAAGACGTGTGTAAATTATACATAGTAGATGCAAATGTCTGCTTCCTTCCCTTCCTCTTTACTGCATTGTGCTTTTAAATTCCATACATCACTGCATCCTTCCCTCTTTATTTACTGCGCATCCCTTCAACCCATCACCTGCCCGCTGGGCTTGGGGCAGAGGGACTGCTGGGTGGGGAGAGGGACGCAGGGCACGGAGGGAGGTCCTGGGGCGTAAAAGCTTTGCGCACAGATACTTGGGGACTTCCCAGAGGAAGTGTGTGATGGGAGATCACCTTGTCCAGTTTTAATGTGGCATTTGCATGTTTCAGTTTAGTAGAAAAAAGTAATTTGATCCAGAAAAATGATTCAAAAATTATGTTAAAAGTTAACCCTCCCTTTATAAACCAGTTTTTTTTTTTAATTCTCTTTTTAAAAATATTTTATTTATTTTTGGAAAGAGGGCAAGGGAGGGAGAAAGAGAGGGAGAAAAGCATCAGTATGTGTTTGCCTCTTGAACACCCCCCACTGAGGACCTGGCCCACAACCCAGGCATGTGCCCTGACTGGGAATCGAACTGGTGACCTTTTGGTTCACAGGCCAGCACTCAATCCACTGAGCCGCACCAGCCAGTGCCCTTTATAAACCAGTAAATGTACTCAAGTGTGAATGTGTATTGAAGCATAAAGCAGTTGATTAAAATATACAAGGAAAAGTTACCTATTAACTCTCCAACATTAATTTCAGTAGTTAAAAATAGTTATGTAAAGAAAGTTAATCATTACTTTAAAATTACAGAATAATTGCTATGTAAATGGGACTGTTTTGATTTATCTGCAATCATTTATAATTTATAATTAAACATGCAGTGTTTTCTGCCTTTAAACGAAGACAAATATTGATTTTAACACTTTAACTTATTTTTCTGTGGGTCTCTTTGGGTCCATCCCTCTGGGGACTCTCTGCACTTCCTGGACTTGTATGTCTGCTTCCTTTGCCAGGACTGGGAAGTCGTCGTTGTCCTGTCTCCAGTAGGTTTTCAGCCCCATGGTCTCTCCCTTCCCTGGTGACCCTGTGGTAGATATACACGTGCTTATGCTTGATGTTGTCCCAGAGGTCACTCACACTGTCCTGGTTTTTTAAATTCTCTTTTCCTTTATTCTGTTCTGACTGGATGCCACCTTATCTTCTCAATCACTGATTCCATCCTCTGTTTCATCTGATTTGCTGTTGATTCCATCTAATATAGTCTTCATTTCAGTTGTATTCTTCATTTCTGACTTTTTTTTTAATAGCTTCCCTTGCTTTTTTGTAAGTTCTCACTGAGTTCATTGACTCTTCCCCTAAGTTCCCTGAGCATCCTTATAACCAGTGTTTTGAACTCAGTATCTGCTAGTTTGCTTTTGTCCATTTTTTTTAGTTCTTTGTCTGGAGTTTTGTTCTCTTTCATTTGGGCCGTGTTTCTTTGTCTTCTCGTTTTGGCTGCCTCCCTGGGTTTGCTTCTGTGCTCGGTGGAGCTGTTCCATCTACCAGACTTCATGGGATGGCCTTGGGTAGTAGGTGTCCTGTGTGGCCCTGTGGCCCAGTCTCCTCGATCCCCTGAGCTGCGTGCTCAGAATGTTCCTTGTGTGGGTTGTGTGCCCTCCTGTTGTAGTTAAGCCTTGACTGGCAGGCACTTCAGGGGTTGGGGGGACTGACCCCATGGAGTGGAGCTGGCTGTAGTAGGGTCTGGTGCCTGCTGAGTCTACCCTTTGGGTGTGTCCTTCGTGGAGCTCACTGGGTGGTACTCTGGAGTGGGCTGAGGCCAGCCACCCGGTGTGTTGGCTTTGGGGCCTCTTGGATGGGGCTCCGGTGCAGGCCCAGGCCAGCTGCTTCCCTATGCCCGGCCCCTAAGCCATGTGGTCAGGCCTACAAAGGGAGTGAGTGGTAGTGGGGCACTGTGAGTGCCCGTGTGGGCATTGGAGGTGCCAGGGAGAGGCTATGCTGTGCACCGGGGCCAGAAGCCAGCCACACTAGTGCCGGGCTGCAGCCTGCCTAGCAAGAGATACAGGGTACATTGAGGCAGGCTGCTGCTTGTTTAGGGTTTGTTGGGACCTTTCAGAGATTTTAGGGAAGTCCACAGTGAGGGCTGAGGTCAGCTGCTTGTGAGGAAGAGCCTCTGACAGGGTCCGCCCCATCTGCAAGCTGGGTTGGGCGGGTTCTCGGGGACTCACCCAGGGGAGTGAATTTGATGGGGGCTCAGGTATGGCGCCAGCCTGCGCATGCAGGTTGGTGGGGGGGGCTTCGCAAAGGGGCAGTGACCAGTGCTGGAGCTCAGAGCCAGTGAGTCCCTCAGTGAGTAAATCTGGGCCCTGGCTGGCGTGGCTCAGTTGACTGAGTGTCGGCCTGCAAACCAAAAGGTCTCTGGTTCGATTCCCAGTCAGGGCACATGCCTGGGGTATGGGCCAGGTCCCAGACTGGGGGTGTTCGAGAGGCAACAGATCAATGTTTCTCTTGCACATCGATGTTTCTCTCCCTCTCTCCCTCTCTTCCCTTCTCTCTAAAAATAAATATTTAAAAAATGATAAGAGGAGTGCCTGAGACTCTAGAAGCCCTCCCTCTCGCCTGGACAGACTCCTCACTGATTTCGCAGCCAGCTGTTATGCAGGGGCCTCGTCCTGGCACTGGTGATCCAGGCGGGGACCCTGCACCCCCCAGCCCTCTGCATCTGAGACATGCCCCTGATTCTCAACTGACACACGTGGACACGGGGCCAGTTGTTTCATGTCTCCACCCCTCCTGCCAGTCGGCATCTCTGAGGCTGCTTCGCTGTGTCCTTAGTGAGAGGAGTTTGTTCTGTTAGTCTCAGGGGGTTCAGTACCATAGTTGTCGTTTTGATGTGGTCTTTTAAGACTTTATTTATTTATTTGTAGAGAGGCGGAGAAAGGAGGGAGAAAGAGAGGGAGAGAAACATCAATGTGTGGTTGCCTCTTGAGCACCCCCAACTGGGGACCTGGCCCACAACCCAGTCCTGTGCCCTGACTGGGAATCAGACCAGCGACCCTGTGGTTCACAGGCTGGCACTGAGCCACACCAGCCAGGGCTACTTTGTCATCTTGACGGAAAGTCTTGGATTCATTACTAACGACTTTTAATTTAGCATATTTGAATAGCTTCCCACAACATTGAGTTTTCTAAAACATTAATATAAGGTGGAGCAAATAAAAATTATGGCAGATTAGGCTAATCTTTGCGATCAGGTATTTTGGAAATTAGACTGCTTTAACTGCTTTGTTATATTATGATATCAAAATTCAAGTGCATTTGTTCCTGTCTTCAGCTGTCAGTCCTGAAGATGTGGCAGTTGAGTTAAAGTGTCTGGTGTCAGTGGAATTACTTTTAATATTCACATCGTATAGTTTATATAAAATTTCCTCTCATAAACAGTTTTTATTGACAATGAATAATAATTCACTCAATAAATTATTTTTTCTTTTTTGGTTTTAGGAGAAATATATTCAAGGGGAAGAGACTTAATATTTTTGATCTCAAGGCAGCTGCGCAAGAGGCACCTAAAACAGGTTCGTCAGTGAGAAAAAGAACATTCTAGAGAAACATTCCATCTTTCAGAAACATCCTTGATGTCTGACTGCATAATAACTGGGGGCTTGAATAATCCACCTGCCACGGGCCTGCAGCCTGCTTAGGAGTGTGCTTGTCCACACTGCTGCTCTTGGCCGGCTTTTCCTCCTGGAATGCTCACTGCCAGCCTGCGAGCAGCAGGTGGCCTGCTAATTTGGGGTCAAGGCTAATGACCTCCTGCTATGGGCGGCCCAGCTCTTGAAGAGGTGACGGCATCTACAGAAGTAACTAGTAACTGCTAAGAGCGTTTGGGAAAGGCAGTCAGCAGACTCGCAGTGTGTTTTCTTAACACACAGTCTGTTCTCTAGTCCTTCTCCTTCTTCTTTGGGCAGGAAGTCCATCCTTCTTCCACTTTAAGATTTACCACTTTAAGTCTCGTTAAATGAGAAGAGTATCCTTTTACTTGGCGTTAAATTTGACTTACTGATAAAATGAATAAACTAATATAAATGGTCTCCAGCTTATAAGTGACTTCCATTTCTAAAGATTGTAAGTTAGCTTTTTGGCCCTTGGTGGAAATAATTATATATTTGATATTTAAGTTCCTAGGCCGTCCTCCAGTGACTCATTTCAACTTTCTATCACTTTATTCAGTCAACTCAGGATATTAGTGGCAAGGTCTCCTTGACCTTTGTCTCTCAGGCAGCACCCAGCAAGGTGGTCTGCAGGTAATAGGAAGGAGTCATCTTCAATCTTAAGTCCTTCTTTGAACAGCTTGAACTAAGCATACATGTCCACTGAGGAAAGGAGTTGACGCAGGGAGTGTTTGTTCATTTAAGTGGAGGCGAAGCTAAGAGGACGGACAAGCCCCTTGTGCTGTGCAGGCTGCGTCCTGTCCAGTGTGACGGACAGGACAGGCACGGGCATGGGCACAGACCGCCTCTCCCCCGTGGGGCTGGCGGCTGGGCGCCCTGCCCCGGACGGAGAACGCGTTCACAGGGCGGCCGCTGTCGTCTGTCTCATGAGCGGCCGGAAGGAGCACTTGGGTTTTCAAGAGCCAGCTTGCTGTTTTCAACATCAGAAATCTTATTTTTAAAACTGAAATTAGCTAGCAAGGAAGTACTGAGATTGTGTGTGTTTTATGAAACAATATAAAATAATTATACTCTAATAAGAAAAGTAATGCTCAAATTTATGTCAGTTTACTTGAAGGATACTTTTTTAATAGGCCGTACTTGCAGGAGTGTAAAGAATGTCATTTGTTCCCAATTAAGTGCATTCAGTAATCATTTATTGACCAAATAAATGCGTTCTTCTGTCCCCTGAGTCCCACCATTTGCCCCTCACTGAGTTCCTGCGAGTCCTGCGGAGGACACAGTCGTAGACCCTGTTGCTGATTCTGGAGGGATGCAGAGCCGTGGGCCGTGTAGCTTCATGGGAAGAGGTGTGGTGTAGGTGGTGCCTGGGTTATGCAGCCTCAGGTTCTGCCGCACCGAGCTCTCCGGGCTTCCCTTCCCCCGCCTGTAAGACGGGCGAGTGCCCACATCCCCAGGAGTAAGTGAGGAGGTGGAGCTGAGGTGTCGGGCCCAGACCACAGTGCACATTCAGTGACACCAGTTATTAACGCCATGAATAGTGATGATGCTGACGATGGTCATCACGGGAAAGACACAGGTTGATCGTGTCCACTGAGTGAACTGAAAGAGTGGGACCCTGATAATTCAGTTATTTCACTGTTGCGGTCACTCTGTAATCATCCTGTTGTGATCTTTTCTCCGTGTGAGATGCTCCGGGCCAGCCCACTTCAGACCCAGCAGTCTGTGTGTGGTCGGGCACCGTTGGGCGTGAACTTGCCTGTATGTGTCTTTGTGTGGACGTGTGTTTTCTTTCAGGAGTGAAGTGGTTGCCTGATAAATATGTCATTCACTTGTTAAGAAACTTCCAAACTAGTTTCCACAGTGGTCGCACCAGTTTGCTTCCCATTGGCAGTGCCGGGAGCAAATGTGCCCCTTCCTGAAAGGTGTCACACATTTTCAAACGAGGGATCGAAACAGGATGTGATGGGCCTCGTGAGCTGCTGTTGTGGGCGCTGCCCTGCTCAGGAGCAGTCGGTCGTGAGGAGTAAATGAACTGACGTGCAAGAGGCATTTAGCACAGAGGAAGTGCTCAGTGTCCATCAGTAGTGGTATCATTATTGTTATAATCACGCCAACTTTTCTTTGGTCTTTCTTAGTAGTACATTAGTGACTTAACAGACTGAAACTAAAGATAAACAGGTTGGACTTTAAAGATCAAAGTCATGTTGTCTAAAATAGATTCACCTTCATAAAAGTATCTTTAAACAAAATACACATTTCTTTTTGCCTTCCCAGTAGAGGAAGGAAGCAGTGAGACTTTAGGGGTTGGTTACCAAGCATTGTAGTAAAAGTTTAGGCTCACAATTATTGGAATTGTAGTCTTTATATATCATATATATACATATATGTTTCAGTTTTAGCTCTCAGAGAGTGACCTTTCATTGTATATAGTATTTAATTATGAGCTTCAGGGTCTGAGAATGTATTGCCAACTCAGAGTTGATTATACGTTTTTAAAAAGAAAGATGTTGACATCGACCTGCGCTCATTTCAAGTACTTTTCTATACAGAAACAGCACCTTCACTCTGGGATGTGGAATTTGCTAAGCAGTTAGCTGCAGTAAATGAACAGCCCTTTCAGAATGGCTTTGAAGAGATGATCCAGTGGACGAAAGAGGGGAAACTGTGGGCGTTCCCAATTAACAATGAAGCAGGTAAGTCTTCCCTTCAGAGGTTTGTAAAATTCACTGATGTAGATTAGATCTGGCAGATGTTCAGTTATAGAGCCTAGATATTTACATGAATTTCAAACTTTGTGTAATTATCTTTGTGGTGCCCTAAAAGAAACTGGATGGTATTTTTAAAAAGAATGTTGGAATTTCTCCTCATTCTAGATGTTTGGTAGGGAAATGAGGAAGTAAAATTACATGGCAGAAACACATCCTGCATTTCTGGGCCTTGAAAGTGCTGGGTGACAGTCCTCTGGCTGTTGAGCAGGTTACCTGGTGAATCTTCTGATACACTAAATGCTGGTGTCGGATGACACTTTAATTTTGGAGACCATCACAACTCTTAAAAGTCTGACGTTGGTGTCTTTTATTTATAAGGCCATTATATCAATGAGGTGCAGGCTTCTTGTGCTCAAAGCCACTCAGAATACAAACATTAGGAGGCTTTGAAATTCTTTGGAACTCTTTGGCTGTACACAGACGTTTTGAACTGTTAATAAAGTATCCTCTACTTCCCTGGAGCTTTTTCTGGAGATGGTATCTCTGCCTCAGTCAAAAGGAACACAGTTGTACTGTGCTGTTTATTTTTATCACACCCATGTTATCAGCTAAACATTCTCATCGAATTTTATGGGCGTATTTTCAGTTAAAAGAGATTCATTTGCTTTTATGTTGAGATTAGCTAGAATTTAAAAAACACCTCACTAATTCTCGGGGAAACGGGGTCCATATTATAATCTCCGTAGTTTTATGCTTTCTCTGTAATATTTTCATTTTTATTTGTTTCATTTGTTTGGATTAATAAGTAGAATGGAAGCTTAAATATCAGAAATATTTAGTCCTATATTTTCATAAAGTTTTACAGTTTCTATACTCTGTCAAGTGTCAGGGCAAAGTTAAAAAAAAAAGTGAAGAAAGACACAGGGCTTTGCAGTTGTGCGAACCTGGGCACAGACGCCAGCTCTGTCACCAACTAGCCAGTGGCGTTTTGGGAAGCCATTGAACCTTTTGAGCCTCAGTTTCCTCATCTGTAAAGTTAAAGATGTCTCATTGGAAGAGTGTAAGAATTAGGTAAGTTACAGTCGTTGAGTTGCTCAAAACAGTTCTTGGCATGTAACTCGAATGCATATGTATGAATGTTAGTTCTTTTTCTCTTGCATGATCATAGAATTTTAAGAGTAGCAAAAAATTAGTAAAATACAAATGCGTGATATTAAGGGAAAGTTTCTTTAGTGAAACTTGGGTGTCCTACATCTTCATGGTTAAACACACGCTTTGAAACCCAGCTCTGAGGTAGAATAATGTGTGACTTTATTGAGGAGGGACAGTGAGTGGTGGTTAGGAGTTCAGGTTCGCCAGTGAGTCACAGCGTAATCTCTCCAAGCCTTGCCGCCCTCGTGTATCAAACGGTGGGAAGGACAACAGGACTTACTTGGGGGATTCTTCTTAGAAACAAGTGAGATTACGCACGTAAAGCCTCATGACCGTCATCATCTTGGTTTGTACGGTATTGTGAGGGGGCTCGCTGCATCTCTGCTCTGCACTGTAACATTTAAACGTCTTTCAACCTTAGCAAGGACATTACGTACTTTCCAGGACCCACCAGTGTCATAGGAAAGCTTGACTTGGTGGTACACTGTTGTCAGCAGTAAGATGCTTAATTAAGTTCATTAAAGTTCTGAGTGCCCAAACTCCAGAAGACTTTTTCTTAAATTTGATCTGGTTTGAGAAAGTTGATGCTTCGGGTCGGAAGGGGAGGTGGCTCATTTCCAGCTCCTGATGGGAGCTGTCACCTGGATGGGAAGCAGGAAAGGATGGGGGAGGCCCTGCTCAGTCTGCTCCCTGCCCCCAGCACAGGTTGGGCCAGGGGTGGGGTTGTTACCTCTGAGCCCTGGGAGAGGTTGGATGAGGACCTGGAGCCCCAGCTGTCCCGTAGCGTTCTTTTATATGTGCCGTTCTCAAATGCTGAGATTAACAAGGTGTCATGCTCTCGCTACCGATGAAGATCCACTTTGGTGCTCTCGGGGAAGGGTGTTTTGTTTTATTTTTAGTGGCCAGCCAGTCAGCTTTGGAACGTAACACTGACAGTGACAAATAACGTGTCCTGTTTTATAGTTTCCTTCCAGGTGTTGTTTTCCCATTATATAAATATATGATTTGCCCTGGCTGGTGTAGCTCAGTGGATTGAGCGTGGGCCTGCGAACCAGAGTATCGCGGTTCAATTCCCAGTCAGGGCACATGCCTGGGTTGCAAGCCAGTTCCCAGCAGGGGATGTATGAGAGGCAACCATACATTGATATTTCTCTCCCTCTCTCCTTCCCTTCCCCTCTAAAGATAAATAAATAAAATCTTTAAAAAATATATATGATTTGTTGTTTTGCCACTTAAAATGCATAAATTATTTTTCTCATTCAAATTAGGATTTTTGTTTTAAGTTTTTGTTTTAAGAAATGGTTTGTCCCTACTATTGTGCTTTGCCAGCCTGAGACTTATAAAAACTCTTAGGTGGAATTGTTCCCACTGGGTGGGAATGTTCCACTTTGGAGGAGTTAATGCTGCAGTATTTGTTGTCTGCTGCGTTGATAATAAAATCACTTTTATTTTAGCTTTGACTTTGACTTTAACTAAATTTAATCCATTTTTGCCATTACCTAGTTCACCGATCTTGCTTTTAAATATGCATTAGCCATATATAGATGTTGTCTGCCAAATTAAGGGTGTTTTGGAAGTACTCTCCGAGAGTAATTTTCAGAGGCTTCAGTGGGCAAAAACGTTGTGTATATTAATCACACGTTTGTTCTTATTCTTCAGTTGGTAGAACTTTTCGCTTCTATGCTATGTTTCACTAGGCTATGTGAAATATGCGCTGTAATATGAGCTAGCAAGAATAGTTAGGGAAGTTCAAATTCCCATAAAGCTCTAAGGAGGGCTCTGTTGTTATGGGGAGGGAAAGTGCAGAGGAATTTGGGGCGAGTACAAAGATTGCTGGGCACGTGGTATCTGAAGCAACCCAGTGGCTGTTCACAGATTCCGGCCTGTGGACAAGCCCTCAAAGCACCGACCGGAGAAGTCCGGGTTCTGACAAACACCAGGAGCGGGCACAGCGGACGGTGGAAGGGCTGAGCCTGCTGTGGTGCTGTTGTAGCCCTTGTCACCGCAACCGTTCGCTGCTGTTGACTCGGTTTACCCCTGATTTGTTGTACATGTCTTTAGCCGTAAGCGGTGATGTTTAAAGCAGAATTAGTTAGACACAGAGTCAACCTGTCATCTTAGTTGACTGCATAACATATGTGATTTCCTCCTATATTTAAATTTCCATTCTTATTTTTCTTTTTATTGTTTTTTTGTTTATTAAAAAAGATTTTAAGTTTCATAAATGTATGAAAGTTTACTTGCAAACAAGTCAAATAACATGAAAGAATAGGGAGCATCCTTTACCTTGCTTCTCTCCCCTTCTCGGAAGCACACAGCGAAGCACACAGCGGCAGGAACTGGACACGTGCCGTCTCAGCCCATGCTCCTGGCACCCAGCCCTGCCCCGCCCCACCCCACCCCACCCCCTTCTCTTCTAGCCTGGGCCGCACCACGCTGCGCATGTGCGGTGTGTGGCATCATTGTTTACTTAGCAGTGTGCCTGGGAATCGTTGCCTCGTCAGCACATAGGTCAGCTTCAGTTACCTTACTCGTTCTATGCAGTAGAACTGCTTTATATTTAACAGTTCTGGAGTATGCCAGTATGAATGCAGTGTAAATATTTTGCCATTTTTCTGTTGACAGATGGAGCTATACTTCTGAATCCTTTTATATGTGTCCTTCTGTACCTTTGGTATACTTTTAATTCCCGGAGGGTCAAATGATAGGTATATTTCAGATTGCAATAAATATTGATACGTTCTCTGCTGAAAAAGCCCATTTTCCCTCCAACCAAGTATCCGAAAGTCCCCTTTCTTCACACTATACCTGATTTATTCCTCTTTCAAACGTTCAGGGCGAACAGTGACATCAGGGGTGTTTTTATTTGCACTTCCCTGATTACTAACCAGATTGTGCGTCTCTTTTTATGTTTAGTGGCTATTTTATATTTGCTCTGTGACTTGCCTGGTCATGTCCTTTGACTGTTTCTTTTGGATTGTTTTATCATTTTGTAAGAATTTGATACATTATAGGCTTTAATGCTTCATCTATTACATAATTGGAAATATTGTCTTCCAATCTGTCTCCTTTCTTTTAAAATTCATTTGGGCTTAAAAAATACCTCTTTGCAGTTTTCTAAATTTTTAAAAATATTTTTAAAGTTTATTTTTAGAGAGGGGAAGGGAGGGAGATAGAGAGGGAGACATCAAGTTAGTATTAAGTTTCAGAATGATCCTTGGTAAGGGATTTTATTTGTTTAAAATCAAGTTTCTTGGCATCATTGGGTCCTTTATCCTGGAAATTTTATTTTTCTAATTTTCTTGTTTTCAATTTTCTTTTATTATTTGATAATATAGGCCTCCCAGTCTCTCTTCTTTCTCTTTTTGTTCTGTTCTCTGGGAACATTCCACAATGTTATCTTACAACCTTTCTCTTGGGTTTCTGTCTCTGCTGTCATATTTTTAACTTCTAAACTGTAATTTAAAAAAATTGTTATTCTTGGTTTAGATTTTTTAAAGATTTTATTTGTTTATTTTTAGAGAAACAGAAATGAAGGGAGAGAAACATCAATGTGTAGATGCTTCTCTGGCGCCCCCTACTGGGGACCTGGTCCACATCCCAGGCATGTGCCCTGACTGGGAATCAAACCGGAGACCCTTTGGTTTGCAGGTCAGCACTCATTCCACTGAGCCACAGCAGCCAGGGCAGTATTCAGTTTTTGGTTTATTTTTTTCCTGCTACCCATGTTCTTTTAGTTTCCTCAAAGTTGCCACCGTCGTCTGTTTTGGAATTTGTATTAGGTTAACACTAGCTGCTGCTTTGCTGCTGTACCATATACAGCCATATACGCAGTGGTGCAGCAGGGCAGGGAGTTATCCGATGTAACATAATAGTTGGAGTTCCCAATCAGAACTGAGCTTTGCAGTACGGGCCAGGTTTCTCCCTCCTTGTTTACCCTCCCACCCTGAGGGCATCTTCTCCCTGGGTGTGGTTCAGGAGGGTTCACAGGGCCCTGTGCTCAGGCTGCAGGAGAAGCAGCTCCCCTCTCATAAGGGCCCTGGCATGATCGTGTCACCGGTTGTTTCTGCTCAAATCCCACTGGTGAAATGTAGTCTCGGCCAGGCCTCACCCAACAGGGGGCTGCCGCAGGTGATGTTGCTGGACAGGTATGTGCAGCTCTTTCGTTCTGGTACTGTGATAAAAATATCAAAGGGATTTAGAACGCTGGGTACCAGTTTCTGCCAAGGTGTTTGTCACTTACATTGGCGGCTTTCCTAAAGTGCCTGCTGTCGAGGCACTTGTGTTCACATTCTAGAGGAAGGCATATGAAGCTCTTCATTGGGTTTGTGTGCATGGTGGGCTTGTCGACGGCAGGCTGCATCTCAGGCGGATCCGGAAGGAGCCAACTTGGAGATCATCACAGCGCAGCACCGGTGGGTTCTTCTCATTGAGTCTCTGCCTCCAGAAGGCTTCCAGCTGCCTCACTTGAGCTACGTGGGAGGAGGGGCTGGGAGGGCCTCTCACCAGTCAGGGCACAGACTTCTCTGTAGTTCCTCTCTGATCAATTCAGTGACTTAGTTCTTTTTCCATTTCAATTTCTCCACAAAGTAAACTGCCCATCTCCTCTGGGACTGTGCGGCGGCGTCACCCACGGGTGCAGGTGGGGATGGGGTGTGGGAGATAGAGCCCTAAACCAGTTCTCATTAATCTTCTGGTTTTGTCCCTGCTCCCTAATTTCAGTGGTGCGGTGGTCCCCACTTATGGGGGGTGCATTCCAAGACCCCCAGTGGATGCTTGAAACCACAGGTAGCACTAAACCCATTCTACTCTATTTTTGCATATACATATGCACCCGTGATAAAGTTTAATTTACAAATTGGGCACAGTAAGAATTAACAACAGTGACTAATAGTAAAATAGAACAGTTATGACAGCCGACTGTAGTAAAAGTTACGGGAGTGCAGTCTGTCTTGTGCTGTGAGCTGACACGGCGCCTGCGCGATGAGAGAGTCCGGCGAGAGCTTGATCCGAGTCAGTATTAGCGCGTGTGGGTTTCCTTTAACCTGTTCACGTGGTGGGTTACGTGGACTTTCAAATATCCAGACACCCTTGCATGTGTGAAGTAAATCCCACTTGATCTTAGGGTGTATCTTTTTATACATTGTTGGATTTGTTTGCTGATTTTTAAAAAGTTTTTGCCTCTAAATTTATGAGAGATATTGGTTCAAATTGTCTTCTTTCCTCTCCTTTCTTTATTTGGTTCATGTCTTTCTTTTTGATAACAAGGTCATACTGGCTTCATAACATGAGTTAGGAAGTGTCCCTTCCTCCAGTTTGTGGAAGAGACTGTGTAAATTGGTGTTAATTTTTATTTAAATGTTTGATAAAATTCTCCAGTGAAGTGATCTGGGCTTATAGATTCTTTTTTTAAAATTTTATTTAGTTATTTTTCAAGTACAGTTTTTTGTCTATTTCTCCCATCCTAGCCCCCCTCCCCGCCCCGTGCTCCCTTAGATTCTTTTTTTGAGAGCTGTTAAATTACACATTCCTTTTCTTTAATAATTATAAGACTGTTATCTATTTTTTTTTTGGATGGTTGTTTTGGTACTTTAATGGATTTTATTTTCAGTTGTCCTCTTTCTCTCGGATTGTTGAATTTGCGAGTGTCAGGTCCTGGTAGTGCCCCTTTACTCTTCCTCTAATGGGGTCGGGCTTTATAATAATAACCCCCTTTTCATTCATAATGTTGGTGGTTGGCACCTTCTCTGCTCTCTTCTTTATAGGACCTGGTAGCGATTTATCAATATTGCAGATTTTTTTTTTTTGAAGAACCAGGTATTGATTTCATTATTTTTCTATTTTCAGTTTATTGATTCCTGCTTATCATTTATTTATTCTTTCCTTCCTTTTGTTTGCTTTGGGGATTACCTTGCCCCTCTTTTCCTGGGTCCCTGGGGGCACTTAGAGGGTGGGCAGCTTCCCCTCCTCCTCTCGTATGTGCCGGTGGTATTCCTGTACCCACTCATGCTTTCTTTTTTAAAAATTAATGTTAGCAGCTCTGGCTGGTGTAGCTCAGTAGATTGAGCAGGGGCCTGAGAACCAAAGGATTGCGGTTTGATTCCTGATCGGGGAACATGCCTGGGTTGTAGGCCAGTTCCCGGCGGGGGACACATGAGAGGCAACCATGCATTGATGTTTCTCTCCCTCTCTCTTTCCCATCCCATCTAAAGATAAATAAATTAAAATAAAAAATTAAATTAAATTAATGTTAGCAAGATATATCTTTCTCCATCCATTTACTTTCAACCTACCTGTGAAGTGAATTTCTTGTAGATAGCATATATCTACTTTGCCAACCTCTGTCTTTTGATTGGTATATTTTAAAGTAACAATTGATTTGTTAGGACTTAAGTCTCCAATTTTATTATTTGTTTTCTGTTCCTTTTCTCTATTTCTCATTCCTTCTTTCCTTGGCTTCCTGTGGGCTGCTGGAACACATTTTAGGACTCCATTCTGTTTCATTTATGTATTTTTAAGCATAATTTGCATAGTTTCCTTAGTGGTTGTTTTAGACTTTCAAATATTTATTAGCAGTAATTGCTGCTACACTTTGAACATTTACACTATGTTGAGCATTGTAAAAGAACTTTATAAGCTTTGTATCTACTTGATCTTTACAAAAAAACTTATGAAGAAGATGCTATTTTAACCTTGATCTTATGCCTGAGGCAATTGATGCTCAGAGAAGTTAAATTCCCAGTGATGGAGTTACTGAATTGGCAGGCAAACTTGGGGCTCGACTTCAAAGTTCATGTTTTTCATTGTAATACTGTATTACATTAATGTTAATTTCATGATGTAGGTTTTACATTAAAAATTATAATATATTTTGTCCCATCTTTTAGGTTTTGATGATGATGGTTCAGAATTCCATGAACATATATTTCTAGATAAATACCTGGAAGATTTTCCAAAACAAGGACCAATTCGCCACTTCATGGAGCTGGTGACCTGTGGCCTTTCCAAAAACCCACATCTGAGTGTTAAACAGAAGGTGGAACATATTGAGTGGTTTAAAAATTATTTTGATGAAAAAAAGGATATTCTAAAAGAAAGTGGCATACAGTTTAATTGAAAACCATGGACATTTTTATTTCAAGATCTTGGAGATTATAACTAAATAAAATAACTTTACTAGAAGTTTACCTATATGGTATTAATTATTGCATCTGATTTGAATGGTGTAAATGTCAGATTATTTAAAAATATACAACCCTGGCTGGTGTAGCTCAGTGGATTGAGCGTGGGCCTGTGAACCAAAGGATCATGGTTTGATTCCCTGTCAGGGCATGTGCCTGGCTTGCAGGCCATTTCCCAGCAGGGGACGCATGAGAGGCAACCATACACTGATATTTCTCTCTCTCTCTCTCCTTCCCTTCCCCTCTAAAGATAAATAAATAAAATCTTTTAAAAAAATACAGTGATAACTGGAAAATATTCTTGTGTGAAAAAATGATTAGCATTCATAGATTCAACTAGTAATTCTTTTTAAAAAGACTATTTTAGAATTGGTAATAAGCTCAGAACAACTCTCTCTAACCTTTTGCTTCCAGTTCAGTGACCATATTTCTTTGCAATACAATGATTAGCCATATAGATGATGACATCAGAGGGCTATCACAATTGAGGTGATTTATAGGCAGTTTTATATGCATTAAATATACATACATATTTTTCTATATTTGCATATATGCATGTTTATATTTTTATGTATTTCACACAAAATTAATTACGTTTGCCTAAGTCTGCATCACTGTAGGGAAGTAACCTTGTAGCCCTGGCTGGTGTGGCTCAGTGGATTGAGTGCCAGCCTGCGAACTAAAGGGTCACTGGTTCAGTTCCTAGTCAGGGCACGTGCCTGGGTTGTGGGCTGGGTCCCCAGTAGGGGGCGCATGAGAGGCAGCTGTGCCTTGCTGTGTCTCTCCCTTTCTCCCTCCCTTTCTTTCTGTCTAGAAATGAATGAACAAAATCTTCAAAAAGAAGTAACCCTGTAGAAATGAAGGGCTTATTCTAATTTCTTCTTGCACATTAGATCTTAATGCCAAAGTTGCAACTATTTAGATTATATTATGCTGTTTGGCATTGTGATTCAAATTCACACAGAGATTGGGGAGTCATAAAGAAACCCTCAAAACAACAGTTTGTAGGGATGCCAGGCCAGTGGTGCCTCAGGCCCCTGGCACAAGCCAGTGAAACCCACCAGGCCTCAAACTGTAGGACACATAACGAAGCACCGTGAATGCACATTAGAAACAGCAGGCGCCCCATGAGCCTTGGAGAGCCTCGGGCTTGTCATGTTCAGAATATAAAGTATGTGTGACAGTGACATCAGAGCAGGAAATCGTCCCAACAGATTTGGAAAAAATTAAAATTAGTGACGGAGTTCCACCATAGATTGGACACAGAAAAATAGATCTAAAGAAATTATGCATATGCAACAAAGAGAAAAAATACGAAGGGAGTAATCATGTAAGAAAGTAATCACGTTTCTACGGCGTTCTTCCCGTATTTGTCTGTCCTGTCCTCTGTCCTCTGTGCTTTGGAGCGAGAAACTTCTTTCTCGCTACGAACTGTCACTACGAACTGTGACAGTGAGAACGTGACGTAATCTCACGGCCAGTCCTCCCCCCGGAAATGACCTTGTGTCTCCCACCTCCCAAGGTTTACAGGTAGGCGTTAGCCTTGGGTGAGGTGGTGCAGGTCTGCGGTGCCTGGCCGTACTATATTCTGCAAAAGTGACGTCAGTTGTCTTCACGCTCCTCCCAGGCCCCCGGTGTCAGGATTTTTTGTCCACGACTCAACATTTATTTGGGGATGGCAGCTAGCTCCTTTCACAGTTTCAGATCTAGTTATCATTACCTCGAAACGGAATATTTAATGTTTATGAGGCATTTTTCTCATCCTCCGAAATCCATAAAGTCATTTCATCACTGATGTAGGGGATTCCTGCTTCCACAGGTGGGAATGGAGACAGGGCGGTGTTGGGACGGGAGGGTTTGTCCTTGGACAGCTCTGGGCTGCGTCTTACCCCTGACAGCTTACGTTCTCTCCCACCGAGAAGGAGCCCAGCTCCGTCCAAATGAACAGATGCCTTTAATAAAGGCTTTACTCTGTGCTCTGCCCGGGCATCTCTTTGGCGGTTCCCCAAGAAACAGGATGAAAGTTGCTATTCCCATAGACTAGTAGTGGGGCACTGTTGTCACAGCATGTAAACGGTTGTCACACCTTTCACTCGCTCCGTCACAAGTTGAGCATGACCAGCGCTCTGCCACCTGTTAGGTCTGTCCTAGACACCGGAGTAGCAATGCCACGGCCCGGCATCTGCCGGTCTTGAGATATCATCTGAAATGTCACTTCTCCAGAAAAGCCTTCTCTCCCTGATTTGTTCAGTGGGTCCTCCCTTCTTACCGTCGATCACCCCTCTGTTTTCCTTCCAATATTTCCTACGCTGATCTCCTTAAGGGTGTTGCGGGGATGGGGGAGGGTCGTGTCAGCTTCTGTCACCTCTGGGAAGCCATGTGCTCAAGGCCTAGCACATTGTTGGCTCCCAAAAGGGAGCTCAATGAAACCAGTTGTGTGAGTGGAAGATGAAGGAATAAAACATGCTGGTGGGAAAGAGAAAGTTAACGATTCCGTTGTGATACACGCTGACCGGTGTCGAGGGGGGAAAGTGGGCTGAGGTGGAAAAGACAGGCATCATGTCGGGGCACATCACTGACAGTGAGCTTCCTGCAGGAGAGGTGCCTCGGCCCGCACCGTCTGCGGACGGCTGGGCGGATCTGCCTGCTTCCGAGGGGCAGAATTAGAGGGCCATCTGTCCGCCCATAGAGCTAAGCCGCATCCTCCAAAATTGGCTTTGTTCGTAATAAAAGTGATATTCTGGTCTCTGCACGCCACACTCTTCTCTGTCTTGTAAATGGTCAGAACTTGGGAAGGAAAGAGGCACATTATTTATCACCCTTTCTCATCCTTTTAAAGCTAGTTATTTAATTGTTATGTCCTCCTTTGGTCTGCTCTCCTTACCATTTATAAAAAATAGATTAAACCAACATGATCCTATCTTAGGAAAATACTACTTTTCTTTTTAGGAAAAAAAAGTAAATGACTAACATTGTGTATTTAATCACAGTGCAAAATTAGAAATCTCACTCTTTGTGGCTGCCAACAAATGAGTAAATGGCCACAAATGAAATAAAAATTCTTTCATGATCCTCTTCCCGGGATTCAGTAGATTAGTATAATTAAACTTACTATGTCTGAAAATGAAGGTATGACTCGCCGTGGCATGTAAAATACGATCAGGTCACCATACCCGAAAGGCGGAAACAGCCCCAATGTCCATCAGCAGACGAACGGACAAACAAAACGTGTCACATACGTCAATGGGGCATTATTCAGCCTTCAGGAAGGAAGTCCTGACACATGCCACAGTGTGGAGGGACCTTGAGGACATTATGCTGAGAGAAGTAAGCCGGTCACAAAAGGACCTGTCACGGGATTCCCCTGACGTGATGTGCCTGGAACAGTGGAATTCACAGGGGTGAAGGGCAGAAGGGTGGCCGTCCGGATGGAGGGGAGGAGGGTGCGGGGAGTTACTGTTTAATGGGGACAGAGTGTCTGTTGGGGAAGGTGCAAACATCCTGGGGGTGGACGGCAGGGATGGCTGGGCAGTAACATCGATGGACTTAGTGGCACTGACCTGGGATGGGAAGAGTTAAATGGTGAATCTCACGTTCCGTATACTTACTACCATGACACCTTCTAAAACTATGACGAGGGGCAGATGGTGTGTATAATGGAGATGCGCCAGCCATTTGAAGGAGGAACGCTCTGTTCTCAAGCCAGACGGAGGGCCCTGTACCACCCCAGGAAGGAGCAAATGCCAGCCAGGAAAGCTGGGCAGGCGGCAGTTCAGTGGCTGAGGTCGGTGGTGTGGCAGGTTCCCTTCTTGCTACAAATACTTACTGTCACATGCATGATGGCTCCCATTGTCACAGCCACTACGGACAGGGTGAAGTTCACAGCGATGGTGCTCTGTGCTTCATGGGTACTTCCAGAACATTTTCCAAGGCAGGCATGATTCCCACTTACAGGAACTGAATACATTTCCCCAGGTTGCAAATACCCAGGGCGGCCAGGACTTAAACCCGAGATCGGCAACTCCAAAACTGAGTGTTCTTTATCCATACCCCTCAAGAACAGAGTTTAGGAACAATTGTACGGATAGTCTGGGGTGAATGGAGTCAGAGTTTCTTCATCGGGGTTCAGGGAAGAGTACTCACAGGATGATCAGAAACATGGGAACTCTGGAGTGATAGTTAACGATCAGATGAAAAATCATTACAGTTTCAGAGGGGAGGAGGGTGGGAAACTTGGTGCAAAAGGTGAAGAGATTAAGCAAAAAAAAAAAACAACAAACCAAAGAAACCTCATAGACACAACAGCATCGTGACGACCGGAGGGAAAGGGGGAGGGGGAGGTAGAAGGGAGCAAAGGGGGGATAAATGATGATGGAAGGAGACTTGACTTGGGGTGGTGAACACACAATATAATATACAGATGGTGTATTAGAGAATTGTACACTTGAAACCTGTATAATTTTATTAACCAGTGTCACCCCAGTAAATAAAATTTTTTTAAGATTTTATTTATTTATCTTTAGAGGGGAAGGGAAGGAGAGAGGGAGAGAAATATCAATGTATGGTTGCCTCTCATGTGGCCCCTGCTGGGAACTGGCCTGCAACCCAGGCATGTGCACTCACTGGAAATCGAACCACGATCCTTTGTTTCGCAGGCCCACGCTCAATCCACTGAGCTACACCAGCCAGGGCACAATAAAATTTTTTAAAAGAATATAAAAATTATTAGAGTTTAAAGAGTGGAATAACAAGGCAATCAAAGAGTTTTGGGAGCTAATTCAGTAGAGCTACTTGGTACTGATTTCTGGTCAGGGCACATGCCTGGGTTTGGACCAGGTCAGGTTTCCAGTAGGGGGCATGCGAGAGGCAATCACATTTTGAAGTTTCTCTCTCCCTCCCTTCCCCTCTCTCTAAAATAAATAAGTAAATAATTTTTAAAAAGAGCTGGTAAGTAAAAAATAGCAACTGATAAACTGAGAAGTCATTTTTCAAGTGTCATTATGAGC